TGTATACACGCCTACAGGTACAAGAGAAACAAAACTGATTCTATCCAATGCAACAGCAAATGAATGAAAACAAAATGCAAATATCATAATTACGATCCACCGCAGTTTTATGTATACATTTGGGCAGCTTCCTTGTTCGAGGAATGTATCCGTGAATATTCACATACAGGAACAATATCCCATACGTCTGCTGCTGTACAAATAAACTTATTCGACGTCACATGGCTCTGTTACATTCAAATGTTAAAATATATACATAGAGCGTTTCTGGATATTATAACCCGTGTTCGTTTTGCAACTGATCACTAAGTTTCTTTCAGATGTTTTTACAAAGGTGGCAAGTCTCATCGGTCAGCTAAGATAGCACGTGTGACAATTATGTTCATGATGTCCATGGTGCTTTAAAAATATCCATGGAGTTAGAAAGCAATGAACAATCAATAAACGTATTATCGGCTAATCCTTTGAACCAAGTATGTTGTTTTTACATCGGCACTTCACGCCATGATATGAGTGTATTCTGTATGCTTTAGTAAACCTACACATGTAAACACTTACAAATCCACTGTGCAAGATAACAGTGATTAATCAATGAACGTATTTTCTGTGGAACTTTTGATGGCGAGGAATGATCCGTGTACAAAAAGGTAAATGAACTGATCACTCCTCTTGCTTGGCTGCCACGTGAATATTACATAACATACATTTCACCTCACTTCAAACCTGGATTCAGATGAAATAATTGCCCCAGACACAAGACATGCCAAATGGGAACCGTTGTCAGGTAATCTGAGTAGTGCTACTACTACCTATACCTGTAATAGGTTCATTAACTGAGCTTCTAGTGAATGGCAACAAAGACACTGGTGTAGGGTTATGCCCCAAAACGTGGATGACAACAAGAGATAGCAATCGTATTATCCGCGCAATCCAAAATCCGAAAATGCTTTCACTGCTCGGATACTATAAAAATAAACTGACGGCCAAAAGAAACGTTACCAACGATATTTCTAGGATAAAATATTACCAAAACAAATTGAAGCAGCAATAACAATTGTATTGTAGAAATATATAATTCAGAACAGTAAAATGCGAATTTACTAATTCAACAACAAAGTCCTTGACCTCCAACAGGGACATTTCTTGACAAGGGGTCATTCGTCCAGTATTCGATCAACAACATTGGTTACAACTTTAATGTGACGACGGCCCAGACCGTTCAATACGGGACATGACCTTAATGAGCGGCAATGCATCTTCGAATGCGGCGTCGCACTGAGTAGACAAGCGTCCTCACATCGACTGCAGGTTAACGATTCCATTCCTCACGGAGGGCAACGATCAACGCTTGTCTCGTGAAGGGAGGATGTTGACGTTTCCGAAGACGACGCCCCAGCTGGTCCCAGAGATGTTCTGTGGGTGACAGATCTGGTGTTCGAGCTGGCCACGGCAGGACAGTCACGTTGTTGGCGTTGAGGAAGTCTCTAGTAATACGGGCTTTATGGGGTGTGGCGTTATCTTGTTGGAACACCGTCCGTTGTTGACGCTGGGTGAAAGGAAGAACCACTGGCCGTAAGATATTGTCAATGTAGCGTTGTGCTGTCAGATTGCCTTCGATGATGACAAGTTCCGTCTTCTCGTCTCCGCAAATGTCGCCCCAGACCATCACACTTCCGGCCCCTAAAGGTTCCACCTCCTGGACACAACAAGGAGCCGTACGTTCACCACGTCGTCGATACACTCGCGTCCGCCCATCAGGTTTGAAGAGTTGGAACCTGCTCTCGTCACTAAACAGCACTCGCCGCCATTCCCTTTGTTGCCATCGCTGAGTTGTCTGCACCACGTCAATCTGGCACGTCGATGTTGACGGGTCAAGGTCATGCCTTTGAAAGGGCGATAAGCCCGGAGACCATAATGTCGTAGTCGTCTGGTCACTGTTTGTCTGCTGGCCGGATGTCCTTAGCTGTTGGCATCTGATGACGTCACAGTAAGAAATCTGTTCCTCAGATGACGTACCCGTAAAAAGCGGTCATCCTGCGGGGTCGTGACCTATGGTCTGCCACTCCGTGGTCTGTCTGCGGTTCTGCCAGTCTGTCGGAGACGTGAGACCAGTCTGGTAATGGTCATCTTGGAGCAGTTCATGTTAATGGCAACCGCTCTCTGTGTCGCTCCCATCTGCAGCATACCTATGGCTCTCTCCTTCTGGACAGCGGTCAGTCTTGGCATGTTCGTTGGTGTTAATCATCGCAACCATTGATAGGGAACAGATCCCTGCGTAATTTATACCCGGAAATTGCACGATAATTTGGGGAAGATTGTTTTAAAAAATTGCTGAAAAACACCAATATTTCCAAAAATCCGCAAAGCACGTGCAAAGAACGACAGAGAACATGAAGGCTGTATTCGTGAAATGTGTTCTTTACTGTTTTTGAACAGGTTGGCATCTTTGTTTCAAAGTGGCAAATCAGTTAATGTTGGTAACGTTTCTTTTGGCCCTCAGTTTATAACCATCTGGGCTATTTCCAAATAACGACATCCGATGAGCTTCCATCGTTCTTTTTGTCCGTTTGTTTAGGCTAGAGAAATTAATTAACATGCGCCCTTTGTCTGAGATTCAGAGAGTACAGGTAACCAATCAGTGTTCTTGAACACGGTAGTCCAGTCTCCTGTCACGCTCAGTTGCGTCAGTGAGCAAATCGGCAGATGGTGAGCCCCAGCTGGCAGTGTTAGACAGCCGAGAAGAAGATTAGTGCCCCTTTAAACCGACAAGCCGGGATAGAACTAAAATATACACACTGTTCAAAGCAGTGTTAAGCCAAACTCACTCACTTATTCAGAGTCATGCTGGTCCCCCAGGCTCGATATTGGGGGTACTTTTCCAGTATAAGCATGCCTGTCATTTGAATGTTAAGGCCGCAATAAAATTAATAGTTAGTTTGATTGATTTTTTAAAAACATGGGAGACAGGAGGCATTTTATTTTTAACGTTTTTAATTTGTTCTTATCGACCTACTTTAGGCATATGTGTACAATTGCTGTCGGCGGATGCGATTCGCATGCATCATGTGTGCTCAGTAGGGCTACGTGTACGGAGTATTTTATCAGGTAAAGAAAGTAGGAACACTCATATTAACGATACTTCTATTTCTAGGAATTTGAGGGCAATAGAATAATGTAAGGCAGGATGTTTTGTTGTCAGGCGGGAGCGGATGAAAATCTATTAATTAAAGTAGCGAATATGATATCGTATAAAAAACAACAACAAAAAAACATCGGACAATATCATTTTATCCGAATGCTACAAATTGGTCTGTGAGAATTTTATTTTAATGAATATTCTAGCCGTGTATAAAATTGCCTCATTGAGAAACTCACTGGCTTGTGATTATTTCTGTAACTGACAGTGTAGCCGCGAATAACTGCTGATGCGGCTTTAAGCAATATTACTCACTCACTCACTGACGGTAATAGTTTTGTTTCCAGCTTTCGGACACATTTATGTTTTCACCATCATTGGACATTCATGTACACAATTTCTTTTGTTAAATTATATTGAGCATGTTTAGGGTTTTATTATAAAGTACATAGGAAACTGTAACAACGGGAGATGACTCAGACTTTGTGTATGTAAATTACATAGCATTTTCAAGCTCAAGTCATAAGTTTGCTAAATACTACTTGGAGAATGAAGAGCATGAAAGAAGCATGACCAAAGGACTACTAACGTGCGCATGCGCTTGACCTTATGATATTACGCATGCGCACGGACAGCGTCTAAAACGCGAGAACACGAGAACGCGAGATCGCGAGAAAATGAAATGTCGCATTCTCGCGTTCTCGCGATTTCGTTATTTTGTGGCCTAATTTGACAAGTCGAGATTGCGAGATTGCGAGATTTTGCATCATGTCCAAATGTCGCATTCTCGCGTTGTCGACTTTTGACAAAAAGTGCTATGTACCAAAAACACGAGAATGCGAGATCGCGAGAACGCGAGATTTTGGCCAAATCTCGCGTTCTCGCGATCTCGCATTCTCGTGTTTTGGGCATATTTACCTCGTTTCCAAAGGTCGAGATCGCGAGAATGCGAGATCGCGAGAATGTCCCTTACAGTATTCCATAGAAATGTGCTTACAGTTAAATACACAATGACACATATCACTGCACATAAATTCCCCAACAAAGACGTGACTATAGTTTATTGAAAGGAGACTTGTGACATGTTCACTCACTTACATGTAAATACCTTCACGCTATCTGGTCTACACAGGTACATGCGGCCACGCCCACCAACACACACTCCACGTGGATTCTGGACACCATCCTGTGATGTCAGCATGTTTCTAACAAACTGTCCTGACTCAGTCAGATGGAGGACTCTGTGTAGATGGTAGTCTGTCACCAGAATGTCGCCTGCGCTGGTGCTGGTGATACCAAGTGGAAACATCAGTGATGTGTCTCCTCTAGGGCTGTAGGTGAACACCACATCTCCCTCGGGAGTCAGACACACGACACACCTGGATCCCCAGTCAGACACCAGGATGTTTCCTGTCCTCGTGGTACAGAGGTAGAGGGGACTCTTCAAGATGCATCTAATAGGTTGGCCTGGACCAATTGACTTCAGCACGTGTCCCGCCATACCCAGGATATCAACACAGGGAGGGAGGCTGGAACTTGCTGCTAGTGTTGATGGTGTCAGAGACGTGATACCCCGGTACTGTTTGCTGGTTGGGATGGCTGACAGCAGCACCAGGTCAGGGTTGACTTGTACTGTTACAATCTGTCTGGTACCGTGCACAGTGACAGCCACCTGGTTGTCCTTCAACATTGTTATACCCCACGGAGGACCACCCAGACTGAGCCTGCTGTGACATGGCTGCTTGTTCCTGGTGTAGAAGGACTTCACACTGTGGTTGTTATAGTCTGTGACTACCACTGTGTCTGTACCATTCACCACAAACACCGTCACGTCATAGGGGTATGTATCTCCTGCTACTCTGACGTTAATGGTGTCCTGTAACACAGGAGTAGCCTTCAGGTCCAGCACGTTAATGTTGTCCTGTAACACAGGAGTAGCCTTCAGGTCCAGCACATCCTCATACAGGACGTCTATCTCACCCAGCTGTAGATCGTCCAGTGCTCTACTCAGCTTGTCCGTGTCCTGTCTGAACATGATCCTGGCTATTCTTCCCTTCTCCTTCACGTCTGTGACTCCGACAGCCTCCACATCACCGGCCTCACATCCCTGGTACATCTCATACACACCCATGTCACACTCAGATTGTAGAGTCTGGTCTATCAGCTCAGCCTGTTGTTGGTACATCTGTACTGACATCTCACCTGACTTTATGTCTGCCTTCAGTTCTCCAATGTGTTTGTCAGACATTTCTTTCAGTTCAGCCCAAAGTTTCCGTTCCTTGACTTTGATCGCCTCTATTGCTTTGAGACCTGCAGACTTGATATTCGATTCTATTTGTAAGTAAAGCGTTAATGCGTCATCGACTTTGGAGGTTTGTGTTCTTACATGTGTTTTCATCTCGTTGTGTTTCTTCAACAAATCCTCTTTATTCTTTCTCAGCTCGGTTTTCATTGCAGGAATCTCAGACTCAATTTCAACAACCAAGTCACATTTCCTGTGATGAATAATGCAGCATGTTTGACAAACAGCTGTTTTACAATCTTTACAAATATATTTGATATTTTCATCTTTGTGAACTTTACACATGACCTTTCTCTTGACCTTCACCTTTGTCTCTCCAGACAGGTCAACTACGTCATGGTGTCGGGAAGATGGAATTCGTCTGTGTACTCGAATACATCGTTCACAGAGTGCGTCGTCACAAACAGAGCACCAAGATGAAGCTGGAGTTGTCTCCCCTTCCTCCTTGCAATAACTGCAGTGAGTCGTATCTGAAATAGGAATGTAATCATGTAGAGATATTAACAATGCGATATCACTATGTATTACAGAACTTCATGTGGCATATCACTCACACGGGTGAGACAACATCCATCAATAACATCCCAATACGTCTTAATGTGAAATATTATGTAAATAACATTGGATTTGTCTTACTGATAAGAACTCGCCATATAGATCTCAGAAAAAAAACAGCGAATGTGTCTGAGATAGACCTTAGACCATCTCCCTTTCGAATCATGTCTGGATAATCGTTGTTACTTGTTAAAACAGTGTACACGATACGATTTCATAGCCTCCATACAGCCTACAAACAACTTAATAAATGATTTTCGATATCTTTTGAAACCAAACAAAATATCTTCTCACTCAACACACATTCCTATAATCCAGTCAGGGGTGGAGTTACCTGTTTAGAAATAACATTTATATTCATAGAAACCACAAACTCTCACCTTTAGACCCGGGGCCAAACGAGTCCAAGAGTCCCTGGATAACAAAGATAGGCTTGACGTCATCCGCCCACTCCTCCACTGGTCTCTCAGGGGCAGACACTTTCGTCATCTTGTTGCAGAATGGACACAGGAGAGACTTGGCACTGAGGGCTTCTGGTCTGGTTTTGGTGTAGTTGACGACACATTTCCGACAGAAGGTGTGATTACATACAAGTGTACAGGGCTTGTCAAACACCTCTGTACATATCGTGCATGTCAGGAAGTGTTCTGTTAACTTCTGGGAGGTCGCCATCTTACCTACACAAAGATAAACCAGCCGTTGTATTTCCGGTGTACACAAAAGACAAATTTTAGCCACAATCTGACTGGTAGAGCGTCCACCCGGAGAGCCGAAGGTCCGGGGTTCGATCCCCGCCCGCGTCACACCGAAAGACGTTAAAAGATGGTACTTGTTGTTACCCTGTCTGGCGCCCGGCATTATGGGTCTAAAACAAGGACTGGTCGACTCGGAGTCAGTATACTGTGTCTGAGTGGGGTATTCATGTTAAACTGCGGCATGGTATCTCAGTGAGCTAGCACTATAAATCGGCATCAGTCACACAAACACACACGTACGCACATGCATGTCACTATATCAGTGCAATAATCTTGGACGCGACGTTAAACCCCATTTTACCTCACCTCACAATCCGAGCGTACAGTTCTTGAACACTGACACTAAGACCGACTGTAGTAGGGGGACTTATTTACTGTCCCGTTCAAAACTAAGAAAGGGTATATTGTATCCTCCCATTCACCGACTGGATCGTCCAGATCTTGAAACAATTAACAAATACCCCTTTTCATAAGACCCATGAAGATTTGGGGTAGAATAGATCTTCAGCAACCTGTGCTTGCAGTCAAAGGCAACTATGCTTGTCGTAAGAGGCGACTTACGGGATCGGGTGGTTTATGCATGTCATCATATCCCAATTGTGTGGATCAACGCTCATTATGTCAATCACTGGATTGTCCGGTCCAGACTCGATTATTTACAGACCGCCGTCATACAGCTGGAATGTTGCTGAGTGCGGCCTTAAACAACAAACAAACAAAAGAAAAGTTATCTCAGATGTATGCATTTCTTATGAACAACCTAACATCCAGTTCTAATAGTGTGTATATATGTGTGTCTGTCTGTGTGGTGTGTGCGTGTTTCTCTCTCTCTCTCTCTCTCTCTCTCTCTCTCTCTCTCTCTCTTTCTCTCTCTCTCTCTCTCTCTCTCTCCTCTCATTGTGCAGGTGCATTTACAACATGAAGTGCGTGCACTTGTGAACCGTGTGCAGTGTATCGATCACGTGACATAGTTATGGGGTGACACCCACTCATTACCATATCGAAAGTAGGAGACATTATTACAGTTCACATAATAAAGAACCATATCAGATGTGAAATAATACAGTTATGTGGAATTATTTTCCCGTATGGTTTACTGAAGCATTTGTCAGGGTTCATGTCAGTAACAACTGTAACAGACACACGTGATATATACATACACGTACATCGGGATGAGTCTCAGTATTTAAGTCAAGTGGCCGATCAGAGTATTTAATGACAGTGGATCTTTAAAGTATTCCGGTTAGCCTACATGTTATATTTAATTAGGTGCCCGGTTATGAGAATCTGCCTGGAGATGACTGTTTAGTTAGATGAACCCTTGTGGTGTTACCAGTAAACAGTAGGACAGGTGTGTAGCGTTATAACTGAAGTAGACGCAAGCCTTGTGACAACACACTTACCTGAGACAAGCAGATAACCGCTGTGGAGGGAAATTGAGCTACCGTCAGTTTCGTTACCAACTCGTGTCAAAGTAGGACAAGCTGCTTGCAGGTCACCAAAATAGGGCCGAGTGGAGGCGAATGGGCGTTTTGTATTTGTTCTAAATACACTGGGTCTAGATTCGATTATTTAAAGGCCGCTTTCATGGAGCTGGAATAATCCTGAGTGCCGCGACAACAACAAACAAACTTACAGACTGACATGATACAGCTGTAATATTGATGACAGGAAAACTACAATTATTTGCTCGAGAATAAGTTACGATACTCACTTCTTCCGGGTTTCCTTCACCTGTATAACATAATTATTTACCAACATACAGTGGCTAATATGTCTGTAAGCTGCTCTCAAACTAATTGTTTCAAGCTCACTTGGTGGGTGCAATGTACAATAAGCACAAAGTCGTAAATGCTGTATCTTTCTGTACTTTGCATCAAGCATCAATAGCATAACAGTGATAACATGTTCGTGTTATCACACACAAACGTATATGTACATTGGATTAATTAATGTGGAACATATATCGACAGCACGAACAGTGATGTCCATGTTTTCACATACAACATTCATCCTTGAAGCATGTATACTGAACCAAATTAAAAACTTCACAATCCTAAAATTTTAACATTTTGACCAGTTATCATTGTGGGCCCTTATTGTGTATTTAAACTGTAATGGCCACGTATTGTCTTCAGGTAACACTCGTTTTTGTGCAGGTGAATCGATCAAAATCATGTGCACAGCACCATAGTGGAAAAAGTTTTTTTTCACGTGCAACTGGTCACGTCGCCATAACACCGCACGTCTTTTCAGCCACACTTGTTAGCAGTCATTAACAAAATAAGAAAAACACAAGAAAACAAAAGTCTTTACGGCCATTTGTCATGCCACGCCTTTCAAATGTGCAACGTGAACGTGCCAACGGCATGTTGCAGACGGGAACGTCCGTGGCTGAAGTCGCAAGGACGATGGTTTGTAGTCCGGTCTATGATTTACAGACGCGTCTACAGCTAACGGGTACCACCGCTGATCGCCCTGGGCCAGATCGACCACGTGTGACGTCACATGCAGAGGATCGTCAGATTGTCTTACGTCACCTCTGTAACCGATTTTTGACGGCTACATCAACCAGAAACGAACTGTTTAGGGGTAGACTGAGTGCGCAAACTTAAACTGTTCGAAACCGTCTGAGAACTGCTCATCTTCAAGCACGACGGCCATACTGTGGGCCGATTCTGACTCAATTACACAGACGTCAGCGTCAAATGTTGGCACAGTGACACTTACGATGGACTCTGAGGAATTGGAATCAAGTCGTCTTCAGTAATGAATTCCGATTTAATCTTCGATTTGCTGAGTGTATGGCGAGGGTGTGGAGGCGCCGTCATGAACGTTACGCCCAGTGTTGTGTACAGGAAGTTGACAGATTTCGAGGCGGAAGTGTCATGGTGTGAGGTGCTTTCTGTGGCAATGCACGTTCCAGGTTTCTTGTCATCCGTGGCAACCTCATCGCTGCTGCTTGCCGCGACCGGGTACTAGCACCAGAACTTCTGCCTTTAATGGCAGCACATGGACCCGGTTTGATCTTCCAACACGACAATGCCAGACCCCACACAGCAATTTTGACGCTACTGAACTTGTGTGCCAACAGATTCTCGTGCTTGGGACTTATGACTTAAACTGTTGATGTTATTACCGAATACCGTAGGTGCTTGGAACAAATTATGGTTACCTTCGTTAATTAAAATCCGTCTTTTGACATTAATGATTAAAAATTACCTTCTCTGATACATTTGGCCGTTGTATATTATATATGGGATTACTTTTAAAAATGTCTAAGTTTTTAATTTGACTGGCTTCACAAAACATCGCATCACGATATATTACCCTTAGACCACTCAGTTCCAGAGTGAATTTGGCAATTCCTCCCATCAACGAGAGAGCTATTGGTTCTGTGCTTCACAACACGTCACAGTTTAGTAAATTTAGCAAAATAATTACTGTAGCTAATGCCAACTGATCACCAATTTAGTCACCTTCTATGACGTACAGAAATCAGGCGACGAATTTAAGTAATATTCTAGACTCGTTTGGCTGTTTTCGTGTTCCACGTCATATGATCCGCCTATCTAACTCTGACTTGACCCTCCTGGGCCTGATTCCTCTGCAGGACACGTGGCAGAACAGTGGAACTTCCATCTGCATCAGTGTCGTCGGAACAACGTCTTTGAAGCTGTAACAAAACAGTGTTGCTCATTTGTGTTTTCCAGCCTGACGAGCAAGGATTAGTGTCTTGTAAAAATATTCATCATACACATACATATCTCACAACATCACCAGGATACAGAGTGGAAATAGCTCCATAACAACTGAAGTTATGATTACAAACATGTCACATGGATTTATTTTCAGATATAATTCCATATCATATAAATATATAATTTATAGAATCTACATACGTTCAAAATTAGTACAGTCAATATCTAAAATTCTATCACAATTCCATGTAAAATTCAGATGTGTTCTACTGTGCGATATGTTCATGTTAGATTCACAAAAGCAGTATGTGAACAGCTGTATCTGGCTATTTATATTAAATATAAATTGTGCAAACAATTACACACCTTGTCCAACTGGATATCTGTTCATATCATTCAAATAGTAAGGCTTGGGTGAGAGATACAATACTTAAGAAATAAGTGGGAGTTGTTTATCGTACAATAAAACACTGCAGGGAGAATAAACCATGAGGCAAAAACGAGTGGTCAAAAGTTTGGTGCAGTTGATGGAAAGGTGTCCAGTTCTTTAGAAAAGCAAGTCATTAACTATTTAATACTTAGTACTTATCTTAAAGTATGAATTCAGTCTTAAATTATTACGACAGTGCAAATCTAGCAGAACGTTGGATGTACTTATGGACCGAATTCAAAATATCTAAACATATCTCAGTTCTAACCTCTCGTAACAAATGCGTATCTGTAGGACTCTCGTTTTTAAAACTTTATGTGCGTTCAACCATCAGTCTACAATATCAAACGACAAACGTTTTATAAACGCTAGCAAAAAATGTATATTCTTTTCTTAAAATGAGGACTTAATTAATTTCAGGGCTTACAGATACTGTGCATACAGAAGATTCTCAACTTTAAGTCCGGTTTATTAAGGACGTCCCAAAAACGAGGCTGCCAACCCCCATTTTGGTAAGTGGGATTTAGGGGTCTATTTGGAGTGTATTCGGTACTCAGCGATGTGGACTCCTAGAAGATCGTATTTGGTATGCAGGTTCAACATTTATTCCAAAAAATTGGTGTATGCAAATGTTTTCTTCATATGTTTCTTTTTTTCTTCTATTTTTTAGTAATTTTACTTGAAATCGCACCCTTTTCTCAATGCTTTTGAGATTTGTGATGAGTTTCAGTAATAGGAAAATGAGACTGAAAACGGTATTCAGGAGAGAATGGGGTTGGCACCCTAAAAATGTAGAAAGCTTCATCCACGTAACCGTGTCTGGCCCGGAGTGACCTGGAGTGAGTGAGTGAGTGAGTGAGTTTGGTTTTACGCCGCTTTTAGCAATATTCCAGCAATACCACGGCGGGGGACACCAGAAATGGGCTTCACACATTGTACCCATGTCGGGATTCGAACCCGGGTCTTCGGCGTGACGAGGGAACGCTTTAACCACTAGGCTACCCGACCCCCCGGAGTGACCTGGAATCCCCACGGAATGTGTTCATATACTTCTAGCGTGTTCATGTAAACCCATTCTTGGCAGAGCTGCATTAGGCGTTGAACAAAGAGGCAAATGTCCATGTTCTTGTTTCAATACCCAAAATACTTAAAACTAGTTTCTAAAAACATCCTTAATAAACGTGGGACGCTGTTCTTACTATCAATCATAGGTTTGTCTGGTCATAGCTGGAATGCTGCGGAGTGCGGCGGAAAACAACAAGCAGCCTATTGAAGGTCTCCCCGCCGTAATTCCGGGTCAGTATAGGTCCTCGGCACCCTATGCTTGCCGTTCGGGGCGACCAAATGGATGCGATGGTCAGACCCCGTCACTTGGTTGATTCAGTGTCATCGTGACCAAACGACTTGGATGTTGCTCGTGATGTCAATCACTGGTTTCTTGCTTCCATACTCGAGTAATTATCATATCCATGTAGCTTGAATATTGCAGCGTTGACCAACGTAGAATTACAGTGGATTCATTTATTTGTAACACACATAAACGGCACACTCTGTGGTAGAATGTTCATGGCTTCAAGTGCATTCGTTCAGTGCATTTTATGGCGCTTCTAAAAATATTGCATCACGATTTATCTCCCTTAGACCGATCAACGGCCAAGTGAATGTAACACGTCCTCACTGCAGGAACGAGAGAGCAATCGGTTCTGTGTTTCATAACGCGAAACAGTTCAGTAAAGCTACCAAAACAATTAGTACATTTAATGTATATATCTATTTACATCTATATCATGTGATTGTGTTGAACACTGATACTCATATTTCACGTATATCCGTCCCATCTTCTGCTTATTGTCCTCAGCATAGCAAGCAAGGATAACTGTCATGTAAATATCCATCCTACACCGTCATAGCTCACACAACCTATAGTTATAACACAGAAGGATTAGCTCCGTGTTACACTCGCGTTATGATTACAAACATGAAAAACACATCATACGGACGATCTGGTATTCAGAAATAATGAATCCACTTTTATTCGAAGTTCATAATACATTAAATTAGACAATGCTCAGAATAGATTTTAGTGATACGAGCAGTACACGAAGAGCCATGTCTTACTACTCAGATAACACATAAAATGTTTACACAAGTTAAATCTTCATTCACAATTCATTCAACGCAAATGTAGAATGTGATTTTACCAAATACAGTGAAATGTGCTTACAGTCAAATACATAATGACACATATCACTGCACATAAATCCCCCAACAAAGACGTGACTATAGTTTATTGAAAGGAGAATTGTTACATGTTCACTCACTTACATGTAAATACCTTCACGCTATCTGGTCTACACACGTACATACGACCACGCCCGACAACACACACTCCACGTGGATACTGGACACCATCCTGTGATGTCAGTATGTTTCTAACAAACTGCCCTGACTCAGTCAGATGGAGGACTCTGTGTCGATGGTAGTCTGTCACCAGAATGTCGCCTGTGCTGGTGCTGGTGATACCAAGTGGATACTTCAGTGATGTGTCTCCTGTAGTGTTGTAGTTGAACACCACGTCTCCCTCGGGAGTCAGACACACGACACACGTGGATCCACTGTCACACACCAGGATGTTTCCTGTCTTCGTGGTACAGAGGAAGTAGGGATTCTTCAACATGTATCTACTAGGTTGGCCTGGACAAACTGACTTCAGCACGTGTCCCGTCATACCCAGGATATCAACACAGGGAGGGGAGATGGAACTTGCTGCTAGTGTTGATGGTGTCAGAGACGTTATACCCCAGTACTGTTTGCTGGTTGTGATGGTTGACGGCAGCACCAGGTCAGGGTTGACTTGTACTGTTACAATCTGTCTGGTATCTTGCACAGTGACAGCCACCTGGTTGTCCTTCAACATTGTTATACCCCACGGAGCACCACCCAGACTGAGCCTGCTGTGACATGGCTTCTTGTTCCTGGTGTAGAAGGACTTCACACTGTTGTTGCTATAGTCTGTCACTACCACTGTGTCTGTACCATTCACCACAAACACCTTCACATCATTGGGGCATGCCCCATGTGTATCTCCTGCTACTCTGACGTTAATGGTGCCCTGTAACACAGGAGTAACCTTCAGGTCCAGCACGTTAATGGTGTCCTGTAACACAGGAGTAGCCTTCAGGTCCAGCACATCCTCATACAGGACGTCTATCTCACCCAGCTGTAGATCGTCCAGTGCTCTACTCAGCTTGTCCGTGTCCTGTCTGAACATGATCCTGGCTATTCTTCCCTTCTCCTTCACGTCTGCGACTCCGACAGCCTCCACATCACCGGCCTCACATCCCTGGTACATCTCACACACACCCATTTCACACTCAGATTGTAGAGTCTGGTCTATCAGCTCAGCCTGTTGTTGGTACATCTGTACTGACATCTCACCTGACTTTATGTCTGCCTTCAGTTCTCCAATGTGTTTGTCAGACATCTCTTTCAGTTCAGCCAAATATTTCCGTTCCTTGACTTTGATCACCTGTATTGCTTTGAGACTTGCAGACTTGATATTCGATTCTATTTGTAAGTAATGCGTTAATGCTTCATCGACTTACGGGATTTGTTTTCTAATATGTGTTTTCATCTCATCGTGTTTCTTCAAAAATACCTCTTTACTCCTTCTCAGCTCGGTTTTCATGGAAGGAATCTCAGACTCAATTTCAACAACCAGGTCACATTTCCTGTGATGGATATTGCAGCATGTTTGACAAACAGCTGTTTTACAATCTTTACAAATATATTTGATATATTCATCTTTGTGAACTTTACAGATGACCTTTCTCTTGACCCTAACCTTTGTCTCTACAGACAGGTCAACTACGTCATGGTGACGGGAAGATGGGATTCGTTTGTGCATCCGTGCATCATCACAAACAGAGCACCAAGATGAAGCAGGAGTTGTCTCCCCTTCCTCCTTGCAATAACTACAGTAGGTTGTATCTGAAATATGAATGTAATCATGTAGAGATATTACCAATGCATCAATAACATCCCAATGCATCTTAATGTGAAATATTATGTAAATAACATTGGATTTGTCTCACTGATAGAATTCGCCATATAGATCACACTTTTAATTCTGAGATAAACCGTAGATCATGTCACCTTTAGAATCATGTCTGGAGGATTGATGTGTACACAATAGGATTTCATATTCTACATAAAACCTACAAACAACTTTATAAATGACTTTCGATATAGCACAGAAACCATACAAAAAGTCTTCTCACTCAACACACGTTCCTATCAAATCAAGTGTTGAGTTATCTGCTTAGAAATAACATTTATATTCATACAAACTAGGGCTGGGTAACTCGGGTACTCAAGTCGAGTGGGTCCTGAGTTGGACCCGGGTACCCACAAGACTACCCGGACCCGTGGTTAGTCACGTAACATATTGTTTAATGACAAAAATTATCTAAAACTCTACGGTTACACTACAAGTCACTGATATTCCCATTTATTTCTGACTATGCACCCATTCCTGACTATTATATATTTAAATTAAGATAAAACTTCATGCAGTAATCTTCAGTGTATGCATGACCAGATCTTTACAGGTGTATCAAAATACATTTTGAAAGGGCTACGGTCAAACTTTTCCAAATCGGACAGTTTGTACCTATCTCTAGATATCTACAGCGGGTATCCGGGTAGGGTTGGGTAATAGGGTAATGGGTACCCGGGTAGTAAATTTGGACTCGTTCCAGCCCAAATACAAACCACAAACTCTCACCTTTAGATCCGGGGCCAAACGAGTCCAAAAGACCCTGGATGACAAAGCTGGGCTTGACGTCATCCGCCCACTCCTCCACTGGTCTCTCAGGGGCAGACACTTTCGTCATCTTCCTGCAGAATGGACACAGGAGAGACTTGGCACTGATGGCTTCTGGTCTGGTTTTGGTGTAGCTGACCACACATTTCCGACAGAAGGTGTGATTACATACAAGTGTACAGGGCTTGTCAAACACCTCTGTACATATCGTGCATGTCAGGAAGTGTTCTGTTAACTTCTGGGAGGTTGTCATCTTATCTCCACAAAGACAAAATCAGCCCTTGTATACTCTGTATCTGTAACAGACACACCTGATGTATACAAACGAATACATCAGGATCGGTCTCAGTATCAAAGTCAAGTGGCCGAGCGGCGTAAATAGGGGAGACCGGGGTGCTTCGGGACACAGGGTGCTTTGGGACACGGGGTGCATTGGGACACCCCCCAAAACTGCTATTTATAGGTGTACAATCACATGACTATTTATACTAAAGGAATTGACATCATACACTGGCACTTTTTGTAGCAGGGGTGGAAGCAGCACCTGCTGACAGAAATCAAATGTATTTTTTGCACTTCATTGTAAAACTCAGACCCCTATTGTTGAAGCTTTATATGCCAAAGTGTTCGACCTTTCAGTTGATGTATGAGTTTTATTCAAAACAGTGATATCTCAAAAGTATTCTGCCAAGAGATGAATTTCATTTTGTCACATGATTATGTCATGCAGCCATTAAAAACATGTGATTCTAAATGACCAGCATATAATCATGATTATGAATTGAAAATGTACAAATTACTTTGACATTTGCTTTGGATTTGTTTCTTGAACTTTGATGAAATATCAATGAAAGATACTTTTCTAGTAGGTTCAATGACTGGTCCCCTGCCTGGGGTGCATTGAGACGAATTTCTTTTCTTTTTTAAATCACTGTGTTTCAGTTAATTTCATGTTTGTGAAATATTTGTTTGTTCAGTGATTCATTATTAAAGTGTTGATTAGAAGATGTGTCTATTTCTTTATGAATCCATTTCAAGTGGGATATGGACTGGATAATACAAATTTTGTCCCAATGCACGCCGGTCTCCCCTAATGAAAGCGGATCTTTGAAATATTCTGTTTTGCTTTAATAAAATTTAATTAGGTGCCCGCAGAGACCATAAAATAGAGCATGGAATCTGCCTGGAGATGACTGTTTAGTTAGGTGAACACTTGTGTTGTTACCAGTACACAATAGGACAGGTGTGTAGCGTTCTAACTGAAGCAGACACAGGCCTTGTGACAACACCCTTAACGGCCGGTGTCGGGGGAAATTGAGCACCGGAAGTGATAGATCCAGGGGCGTTGACGACTGTGTTTTCTAGTCACTCTGAATGCATGCACGCGGGGTGTCTGTGGTGACCATATATCTTGTGGCTGCTAGGTTTTTTTACGTTACAATTCCCTGTGGAATTTTATTCTACTTCAAAGTGAGGGTTGAAGAGGAGGGACATATAGGGCGCAGGCGAAAACGGCACGAACGACTTATGTAGATCTTGTAGTATATATGCTTTATTTACAAGTTTCATTATGCTATGTTATTATTCATGTATTCGCATTGCCATTGTCTTGTTTTCCAGGTATTCACAGATTATTAATTCTTTTATAAGATAAAAAGAAATCAGGTGCCGTTTTCGCTTTAGGCAAGGTGATGTTTTCGCCAAACAGTGCCAAACAAGTCAATAACACGTCCCGGCCAATATGTTGTACTGCCCTGCCCCTCTTACTTGTATCATCATGTTAACAGGTCAATAACACGTCCCGGGTCAATATGTTGTACTGACCTGCTCCTCTCACTTGTATCATCATGTTAACAGGTCAATAACACGTCCCGGGTCAATATGTTGTACTGCCCTGCTCCTCTCACTTGTATCATCATGTTAACAGGTCAATAACACGTCCCGGGTCAATATGTTGTACTGACCTGCTCCTCTCACTTGTATCATCATGTTAACAGGTCAATAACACGTCCCAGGCCAATATGTTGTACTACCCTGCTCCTCTCACTTATAAAACTTATAAGGGTCAGTCGTGTAGGCTAGTGGATAAAGTGTTAGCTCATCATGCCTAAGACCTGGGTTCCATTCCCGATATGGGTGCAATGTGTGGAGCCCATTTCTGATGTCCCCTACTGTGATATTGCTGGAATATTGCTAAAAGCAGCGTAAAACCAAACTCACTATAAAACTTATAAAACAAAGTTATCTGGCTGAGAGTGGTCCAATATCATTCGTGAGACCACCTCATCTGTTTCACATTCAGGTCTAGGCGTATTGATTCAAACATTCTCCACAAGGCTGTATGATGAGTGGGAGGGCTTCAACTTTCGAATAGTGAACTTTCTCTTTATGTCGAGCAATATTCCACCTGCTCCAGGCATCGGTAAACACATTCCACAACTTTTGAAGTACAATCAAGCAGCTCTTACTACCAAGATTTCAAAGTGCGTAATATGACTTATTCAGAAATTGTTTGATTCAGATTTCAACATACAAGGCCTCAGGAATACTTACCAACAGTTTTTTGGAAGATATGTGGAGGACATTTCTAAATTAGAGGCTTCAGTGACAAAAGTTATGTCCGATGCAATTCCTTATTTTGACTTGTACCATATGGGTAAGGATAAGAATTTATGGATGAACAACTTCTTTGCTACAATTAAGAGCGTCGTTTCGCTGTAGGTCCTAACACAAGGGTTATTAAGCAAGTGTTATCTTGCTTGATAACGGTGTTAGAACCTACACCGAAACGTCGCTCTTAAATGTAATTTAGAAGTTGTTCATCCATAAATTCTTATCCTTACTTAGTTATTAAACTTCTAAATGCCTATCAAAGAAGTTGTACCATATGGTCCTGTGATTTTGCAGGTGATCAACTGACTTGTCTTTGCATGTGTTTGTGATAAATGCCACTAGTGGTATAGGATACACTTACCTTTTCGAGAACACCTTGTATCATCACTGTCTCACAGTGATTCATAAACATATGCTCATGATATAGTTTGAATCGTACAATCGACTCTGCTTTTAGCAGAGATTTGGTATGGATATGGAAAGGGTTTTGTCTCTCTTATTTAGATCAAGAATTGTTAACAGGTCAATGAAGTCATCAGAATATGCTTACTCCACGTTTTGAAACAGTTTGCTGATATAATCAGCAGAGGGGGGCACAGGTGGCCCAGTCGTCTAAGGCGCCGTGATTCGCTGTGCAGAGTTGCTTTCCTTGGGCACGCCAAAGTGGTAAACGTCAAAGACCTGGCTTTCCTCCCACATTAAGCTGACACGCCGTGATATAACTGGAATACTGTTAAAAGCGGCGTGAGTAGGCAGTCTATCCTATAGAAAATGTTTAGCACTCATAGCTCTCATATATATGTTCAGATGACATTCACAGCATAAACCATGGGATTCTGGGGTCAGAATGGATCCTCAATGTTTGTCGTAAGAGGTGCCTCTATGGATCGGTGGACAGTCCCAGTGACTTGCTTGATTGTGTTGTACCCTGACAGCGTGGATAGTTGCTCATGATGTCAACCACTGGTTTGACTGGTCCAGATTCAATTACAGACTGCCATCATATGGCTGGACTATTGCTGAGTGTGGCATAAAATAACAAACAAAACAAACATTCATAAAATGTGGAATCAGATAATGTCAGGAGCCATATTAAAAGATAAAGATAAAGTCAACAAAATGAGTGTTGAAAGAGTGACATAATTTATTACAATAGTGTACATGGTCTCATTGCATCTGATTTTGAATATTCAATCGGTCTGGACAAGACAGCCATGCTTTACAGTATCACACCTTCGAGAGTTGTCCTCATCCAATGTTCAGAGCAGATCCATGATGTGGGCTATCTAACACCACTGCATGGCCATCAACACTAGAAAACTGACAGCAAAATTGAAATATGTCCTTATGTACAGTGTAGGTCACATTAGCGTGCCAATCTCGTCACATCAATGTGCACTTTCTTCCATTTTTCCATATTTCTTCTCCCATCGTTCAATAAATTCCTTCTTGCGTATTTCCCTCTTGGCAAAGTATTCTGGGTACTGTGCCTTCTCTAATGGATGCCACGTGTCCAGAAGCTGTCAACACAACAAAGCAGAGCTCTGTTCAATACACAACAGAGTTTTCCTTTGTCCATTTTATACATTTGTGCATACATACCACAGTGACAATAAACTATGCTTTTAATTTGTTGTTTAATGTCACTCTCAGGAATATTCCAACTAAATGACAACTGTCAGTTAAATAGTTGAAGCCTGACCAGACAATCCAGTTGTTGACATGACCATCGATCAAGGCAACTTAGATACGATGACATGCAATCAACTGTCAGTGAACCTGACCCTCCGATCTCTTACGACAAGCTTTGGTTTGTAGATGACCAATTCTAACCTGGACCTTCATTGGGGCCTGTTTAATGATAGGTCTATTTACTGAATATCTGACATTGGTCTCATAGCATGTACAGGATCAATGTGACTTACCCAGTCAGGTACATGCTGAACTCTTCCAAAGGCAACACCTGCCGGCTGGTGTGGAACTGAAAACACAATACATGACTGTTAGTTTTTAAAAATTGCATTCAGAAATATATTCAAACTATATTACGCCGATCTGTAAGTAATCGAGTCTGATCAGACAATCCAGTTATTGACATCATGAGCAATGGTCTACACAATTGGGATACAATGACCCGCATCAACCAAGTCAGTGAGCCTGACCACCCTATCCCATTAGTCGCCTCTTACGGCAAGCATGTGTTGCTGAAGACCTATTCTAACCTCTTAGAGGGTCTGTTAGAAGATTCTCAAACTAGAATTAATATCTGTTGACACACCTTACAATAAAGAAAGGAAGGCCACAACAAATTCCATGATCAAAATTCAGGATGTTTTTGTTCATACAGTTGACCTGAAGTTCACGATAAATTGACACATGAGAAATTGTCTTTCTTCCTTGTTACCAAGGTGACACTCACATTTAAAGGGTTGAGGGTGTTGCTTCAAGAAGAGTTCTCTTTCCCCATCAAGAAGCAATTTCTTGGCTTTCCTCACATCCACTTCACTCTTGTTTTCATCGAAACGTGCTCGGAGCAAAACAGCTTGGTAACGAAAGATGTGTCTGTAACAAGAATTCAAATAGGCCTTAATTCAGTGTTAGGAGTAATTGAATGTTACAATCTGACAACTGTTCAGATGTAACTAATAATGTTCAGGAGCAGACCCAACTGTTTAGGGTTAGTGTGACATCGCAGCAATATTGCTGACTGGCACAAAATTACAAAACAACAACCAGCATACTTGGCAAACGAAAAAACAACACTTATGTTGTAAGTGTTGTACTGTCATGTGTTATTTATTTGAGGGCATATACTTTCTATAATGTTTCGTAAGCTCAAAGCAGAGAATTTAGACTATTCATGCTAATTAGGTAATTTTGATATGTTTTTCAAATGAAATATTGCATACTAACATTCTCATCATACCAGGAAACAATACTTTAATGAGTGTATACCTGAGCTACGGTGTACCAGATCTGACGTAGGACTGGCTAAAAGATCAATAATAAGAATTATCGTCAATGGGAAGAAATATTAACAAATATCGATATGAAACTGTTGTCATTGATAACTCACATTAAACTATTGTTATGAAATAAAGTTTACATTTACTGATTTAACAGACTGGTCATTGTCAATAATGTCAATTGTCGAAGACGGAAAGCAACAGTTTTTGTTAGACATTTCAAATGTCCACAAGGTAAACCATCCATAAATGTGTCACTGCTCACCAGTGGCGTGAAATGTGTTGATTTCTTTCGGGACTTACTTGCATATTTGCTAAAAGTTTCTTCTCCGATATTTATTGATAATTGATCGATATTTAGTCAGTGATTATCAATCTCTATGATCTATATCAATAGCCAGCCATAATCTGATGTATCACAATTGAGGGGTGTCAATACTTGGTATGGTGGGTATCCTTGCTTTATTCCCAACTTAACTGTTTTACATCCTGTGTATTTGATGCAGTTTTCATGCAAAATATTCCTGCTTGTATAAAGGCCATGTTTATACTGTACAACCACTAATCTACCATCAACAAGCACACTGGTGCTTTACATACTATGACGTTAGCAAGCCCTGCCATGTAAACAAACATCTCAGTAAATAAACAGAAAAATGTTTTTGGTTTTTGGTTTGTTGTTTAACGCCGCTTTCAGCAATATTCCAGCTATATGACGGCGGTCTGTAAATAATCGAGTCTGGACCAGACAATCCAGGGATTTACATCATGAGCATCGATCTACGCAATTGGGATCGATGACATGTATCAACCAAGTCAGCGAGTCTGACCACCCGATCCCATTAGTTGCCTTTTACGACAAGCATAGCCGCCTTTTACAGCAAACATGGGTTGCTGAAGACCTGTCCTACCCCGGATCTAAACAATGTACTGCAATGGGTACATACATGGTACAGACATTGCATTCTAATTATTCTGACACAAAATCACATCAAAGTTATATTTCCTTTACCCAGGCTTTCTGCTTTAGCCTTTGCATATTATTCTCAGACTATCTATTTCTATTTTGACAAAAAGTATTTTTGCTGAAGCAGAAAGCCTGGGTAAAGGAAATATAAGTTCTGAGATGACCTATATCATATCGCCTCTGCTTGACCAGCAAAAGGTTTCTTGTCTGTCAATATTTACCATCCAATCAGATTCACAGATTCTCCAAATTTGGATGGTGTGACATGTCCACCAGAAGCTCATCAGCAATAGCAAGAACAGATCTGTGATATTTGTGAACATTTTGAGTGAGTGAATGAGTTAGGTATTAACACTGCCATTAACAGTATTCCAGTTATATCGCAGCGTCAGCTTAATGTGCGAGGAAAGCCCAAAGTGGTGCAGTTGGTGAAACCCACGAGCACAGGTATGGTGCTGACAAACCTAGAAACATAATCGGGCCAAACCGGAATTCGAACCCACAATCACAGGTTTCTGGCGTGCCCAAGGGACGCAACACTGCCCAGCGAATCGCGGCGCCTTAGTCAACTGGGTTACCTGTGCCCATTTTGAAACTTGCAATCATTATTGTGTAACGCCCGAATCTCATTAAAATCAGTTCTTAGTTCTCGCTACCGCTAAACGAAGATCTGAGGACATCCCATTAGGGGTCACGTCATACATCATGGTGATCAGCGATAGAATCTAATATTCCTAATAGTCCTAATAATATATTTTAAGGAGTAGATGTACCAAAATTTGTATGTGTGCATTTCGTGTTTCCTGAATTTTACTGCAAATTAGGCAGCTATGTTGTGAAAGTCATCATCAGGACTGGGATAGACAAGGCCACAAGTCTGTTAGTTCGAGACTAGTGAAAATCTAGTTGTTTCTCCCAAAATCTAGTTATCAGCAGTTTGGCAAGGACTATTAGGACTAGAGCCAATTTCTATCACTGTAGATATCAGCCATTATTCACTTAAGTGTCATTCCACTAGAGGGTGGAGTTTTGGCTCTTTGAGTCAATAGAAACTTTTTGTTCCAACCTTCAACCAGCAAAGTTGTATTATTTGATAAAGTTGATCTGCTATATAATAAACAAAGCTTCAAGAAAATTAAACATGGAATAATATCTTACAAGAAAATATAATATCCTAAAGTGCTCTAGTTTTCAAATTTGTGACATGGCTGACACCCATTTTTCATAAACGAAATGGGCTAATATCATTGCATCCTGTTTTGATTCAGAATTTCATTGCTTTTTAAATTCTAAAAATATTTTGTACACTTTTGAGAAAAATAAAATTACATAACGGACATGACGCATTCCGTCTTCTGAAGAAAAGCACCGCTAAACCACTAGATGTTCCTAACAACATAATAAAATACATCAAAGAAGAGCGTTTTTTACATACCGTCTTGACGTAATAAAGGCCCCGTTCTAATAAGTGCCCACAGCGAAATTTGCCAATATATTGGCTAGTGAACAATACCAATTACCGTATTCGATGTAATAAGCGCCCCATCCTAATAAGCGCCCACGGCGATATTTGCTAATATATTGGCTAGTGAACAATCCCAATTAACATCCATTCCAACATGTCCAATTGATCATTGTACACAAGACTTATTTATTCGTGTATAATACGCACTTGTGTGTTATGTGCACACTTAATTATAGGCAATTAAATTCTGGAAAATATATCTGTCGTGTATAATACGCACACACTTTTCTTGTGTATAATTTCAGGCTGTCAGCATAAACCACGAAATTTACGATCTTTTCAACTCTCTTTTCTTTTCTCACCAAACTTATATTCTAATAAGAGCCTCCTATTTCTAATTTTGAGAGCGCCCGGGGCGCTTATTACGTCGAATACGGTAGCACCCCTTCCGATTGATCACTGTACACAACACTTATTTATTCGCGTATAATAAGTACTCGTGTGTTATATACACCCTTAATTATGGGCATTTAAATTCTGGAAAAATGTATCTCTTGTATATAAACATTTCAGGGTGTCAGCATAAACCACGAAATTTATCTTTCAACTCTGTTTTTTCACCAAAATAATATTCTAATAAGAGCCCCCTATTACTAATTTTGAGAGCGCCATGGGCGCTTATTACGTTGAATACGGTATCCTTTTTCACGTCAAGAATCATGCAATTTGATCATGTCCAAATGTGAAACTGATCTATCAAAATAATGATTTATGTTAGTGTAGTGTAGCGTGTAAAATGGCATCCAAATGATACGGGGTAAATTGGTTATACAACATGTATAAATAGTGTTAAAGCTGCACTGGTCATGCTGATGTTTTAGAGTTCTTTCTTTGGTTACAGACATGTTATCAATATCTGCAGTCATATCCTTTATCTAAATTCATCTGTGTGCTATCTGGTGATTGAAATTTTGAAATTCACTCAAAATAATTGTTCAAAGAACATTAGAAAGTAACATAACATAAAACTTAAATCTATATTGTCTGCGATGAAGACTGCAAACATCAGCACGTAATTGTAGACAAATGAAGGCCTTGCATCATGTCCTTACAAGACGTCATCTTGAATCATGTCCATGTGCAATTAAGCATTGTTGTTATATGCAGATTGGTACACTTTAGTAAATGCAGCATTGTCAAACTCTAGGGTTTTATTCATGGGAAATATGATAATCATATATATGACAATACATTTTCAGAATGACAATTTAAGATGTTGCATAGACATGACGCATCATGCCCATTACTGCAATGCATCATGTCCGTTTTTCTTTACAAACATCTGTCACAATAAATTCAACAGTGTTGGTTCATTCTTAAATATTTTTAACATAAGCATATATACAATTGAATAAAGTCCATTGGTGAAGAACTACACTGGAAAGAAGTATATCCATAGAGTTGCTGATAGGCCACTGACTGAAACACACAGTATTCACACAGTATTCACATTGTGTCAATTTTCGTCTTTGCATACTAATTTCAACTTCTGATGGTTAACATGGTTAAGCATAAGGAAATGTGATATTTATTGCAGAAACCTGAATGTCTGTCAGAATAATTACTCAAACATGTTTTTTGTAGGAATTTACGAGCAATTCTGTTCCTCTTGCATCATGTCCAGAAAAATGCTCACAAATGCTTTCCTATTTGTCGCATTTCCTCTTATTGTAACAAAACTGACAATTTATTAGATGGTTATATTTGCATATATTTAAAAATTTATGATGATATGGTATTTATGATGACATGGTATTTTGAAAAAACGTTTTGTGCCATATTAGCAAATAATTACCCATACATCGAAATGTACCCTGGGTACAAAACAGTGATACACAGGTAGAAAACGACCCCATCATTCGCAACTTGGTTCTGTTTATTGCACTTTTCTTCAGCCTGACCACTTCATCATTAGCGAAATGCAAACAGTTTGCACATACCGAGAAAAGCACGTTACATCTAACATGATTAACCACACAAAAACGTAGCTTATTTTCGAATCATGCTTCCGTATAACAATTCAATGATAAGTTTTGAATAAAAATGTTCCTAAAATGTCCTCTTGCCCTTGGAAATGTTTGGCTCGATCGCCGTCAAAATATATCTCATCATCTGAAAATTTCATGATAATTCCACTAAATAGACATTCTGTTTACCTTTGTTGATAGAAAGATTGCAGCTGTCGACATCCTTCCTTGTACAAACGCCGCACGCGTTGCGCGTGCGACAAGACATTCGTCTGCATGTACGACATCTTGAGAAAGGCACTTCCTGTCTCAGTAGGTCCGGACTTGAAAAAAAGCAATTACATAAATGGTAGTAATTATTAGTACTTATATCCAAGAGCCAATATTGTCACATATCAATAATAATATAGCAAAAATTATTCAGTGTGTGACGGGTCGAATTATTACTTGAATTCATTTCATGGCGCCTTCACACGGGTACGTTTTGGAGTCGCATTCGTTTAGTTTGAAAACATGTTCTTATATCTGTCGTGTAGTCAAGGGTCTTTTCCCGTAACATATTACAAAGTCATTGATGACAGATGTTCTAGTCATACTTTAATGATAGAAATAGGTCGACAGTACAATATTAACATAAATTTAAGATTTTGCCTATTTTGCATAGTGTTAATAGTAGAAACAGAATACCATTTCTGCCTCCAATGTCCATTCTATTCAGATTTAAGAGACAGCATTTTACCAAAGTATTATTCTGTCCATCCAAACCAGCAAAAACTTAAAATGCTATTCTCAAGCTCGATCCGCCTTTACTGAACAGTCTAGGGAAATATATTTTCTTAGCACTTAAGAAACGCAATAGATATGTTGAACATGTCATTAATTATCCTAAGTAGTATAACTGTCCACTGTTGTACATAATGAGGCAAACCTTTTGGCGCTCTGTCAGATATATATGTGAGTGTGTATATACTTGTATAATGGGCCGGTGGCCTCATTACGGAATAAACAACAATAAATTCAATCGTTACCTTCGAGACAAATGAGAAATAAGGACATACATATCTTGTTATCGTCCATTGTCCATAAGGGAACTGGACAATTCGTACCCACGGAGATCGGTACCCAAACGTTTTTGGCGACTGGTACCCTAATGTTGGATAACTCATACACACTCGTACCTAATCAACTGGGTGACTCTAACCTAAAAAAAAATGCGAATCCGCACCCAAAGAACATATTTATGATCTGAAACATCGTTTGTATTCTTACCTGTAGCCTTAGATGCGGGGTAGAATAGGTCTTCAGCAAACCATGCTTGCCGTAAAAGGCAACTATGCTTGCCGTAAAAGGCGACTTACGGGATTGGGTGGTCACTGGTCAGACACGCTAACCTGGTTGATGCATGCCATCGTATCCCAATTGCGTAGATCGATGCTCATGATGTCAATCACTGGATTGTCTGGTCCAGACTCGATTATTAACACACCGCCGTCATATTGTTGGAATATTGTTGAGTGCGGCTAAAAACAACAAACAAACAAACAACAACAACAAAATTATCTCATAACATAACACGAGTGGGCCGATCACCGACTGTGTAAACTTCTTGGTACACCGGCCAACTTCCAAGAACTTATTAGTTTAAATACTAAAACAACAATATGCCACCACGGTCAATTGAGGTTGATAGTTCCACAGTACCACAAACTTTTCAAACACGTGACAATACCCTATGACGTAATTTGTAGTATTTTGTTGGCAGTCACACCGGGGAAACAATGCCCTGTGACGTCAGGGGTCATTGAGTGTGCATAAGCTCCTCCCAGTGATCTATCATCTCTACATGAAATGCCATTGAATACGACAAACAGTGTGGAGAGTTTTGAATATTTCTTTACTAGATATAGCCTGTGGCGGCGCATTTTATAGCAAGCGCTTTTTTACGAAAGCACTTTTATTTTATATATATTTCATTTACCAACTAATGCATGAAACTAATGAATGGATGTTTGAAGTGTAAAACGAAGTAATGTTTGAAATGTACAAATGAATGAATGAGATTGGACTTAGGACTGCATCATATTTTGTCGATCTCCTCATTTTGAGTAACATCTTTTCATGATTTTTTTCTCAACTGTGATATTTACCATCAACTACTTGGTGTTTACAATTAGTAGAACATTCTCACCAACGCGTCCAGCACCGCTGTTCCCATTCACTGGCGTAAGGACTCGGTTTTATATTTCTCTAATAGAGGCATACTCTGTTTCGAGTTCCAGTCGTGTGTGCGGAGCTAGTCGCGGGGAATAAGAAATAGAAAATATAAACAAACATCGCGTGCCCACCATCAAGCAGTTAGCTGTTTACACAACTGCTTCAAGATGACATCATACCATTCTAAGAGAAAACGTTTGCCAGAAGAAGATTCTTCACGTTCGAAAAGATCTTTCAAAGATCTCATAAGTGAGAAAACTGAAATAGTGATAGGTTCAGTCAGTGTCGTGTCGTGATGTCCGTCTTCAACTTGAAAAATCTAGAACGAGAATGGCTCTATCATTTCAAGACCCATTCTCGTTCTCGATTTCTTAAGTAAGCGTCATGTAACCAATGTCCAAGCCCAGACAAGTGAATTCCCAGACGCTCAGTTGTCAGACTGTGAAAATAAGAAAATTGAATTAGATTTTGTCCGTCGCTGTTTTGGATATATGGAGGGTATATGGTCAGCTGATGGTCGAGTATCCTGAGTTCGTGACGTTATTTCACACGTATTTGTCTTGAAATAATTTTCAAACATCGTTTAAACGATATATACTCGAACCCCGTGGTACTGCAGCATTCATCGTATTTGTGATTTCTGGTAGTTCACGCGGGACACGCCTCTTAGCGGCGGTCTATTAATGCAAATCAGTAACCAGGAAATGCTTGCTTCGTAAACAATTTCAATTTCCTCGGAATGTTCCGTCTGCAGTAAGTAAGTAGTTATTAATGCGTTGATACCTACTTCTGGCATCTTTTTTAATATTGCCTGATCCCCATCTATCAATGGACAATGATATAACCTGCAGTTTCCCAAGTACACTTTCTCTATAGACCTGAATAAGATCATCTGCATTTTCATGGCATCTAATAAGTTAATGGAAGTTACATAGTACACACATTGTTTCCCAGTCTGTGGCTGGAATCTATTACGAGATCATAAGGGCCATAATGCCATACTTAGAAATACGTTCTTCACCAGTAGCCAAATGATAAATGAATACTTTTGGCATACTAGGGGTGTTTTTTTTATATATTTATTGTAAACCTTTAACATTAATCCAATTTTTTGACAAATTATTGTCATCCAATTTTTTAAACAAAAATCTTAAAATATCATTTGTGATATTTTGTTTGATTTTTAAACATATTTTTTTCTTACTTTTCGGTAAATTATATGCATTGAATACCTATAATCACGATACGAATAATCATAAAGGTTAGTGAGTGCATTTGGTTCCGTTAAGCATACATAACAAGTACCGCGATACCCCGAGGTTGCAGGCTATGAGTTTCCATTGGACGATAGGTCGGTCACATGACTGTGAAATTGACATTCATAAGTGTGTGAATGACATAATTTGACGTTCATATATTTTTTATGAGACTGTATTTTTGAAATGATGTAAACACTGACACACTACTTACACAACTCGGAATACATACAGAAGCATTGTTTCTGATCATTTAGACCCTTTAATCTTGAACTCGGCATTTTAGCATACATTGAGAAACCTCAGAGAGTTTGACTGCATGATCGTTTATGAATATCCTCGCTACGACCCATGTCCTAGTGAACAAAATGTAGAAGTGCACTTACAAGGTATCATAGTATTGACTCAATCTGTGTCTAAAATGACAGTGACAGTCTACAGCAATCTATGAATTTACATTAGTATCTATTGACACATCTTTATGATCACCTTTCAAGGATCAGCCTATTGATTAATGATGACCAACACATGTAAACGCCACAGGTTCATTAACAACTTTGGAAATCACTCCAATCACATTTACAGTGTCAGCCATTTTGACGTCGTGTTCTTGATGTAAATGTATTATGATGCACTGTCATTGTGACACTTGCTTAGTTCTTAACAGACCTTTCTCATTCAATGATGATTTTATTTGAATTTTGAATACATTTGTTGTAGACAAGTTTAGAACTACTTTGAACAGTATTTCAGTTGAAGCACAGCATGTCAGCTTAAGAAGGGAGCTAGGAAAGCCCTGGGTTTAGATGTTTAATACGTTGGTGAACCTTGGGAGCAAGAGAGCAAGTGTATGGTGCTGCAAACCAAGGATCCCAAATCAAGTTTAATCCACAGTTATATGGCAATCACAGTGTTAGCAATAAGTCTACTGAGGTTTATTAGTCATATTTGATCTGAAAACTACCCAGTTGAATTTAACTCTTGGTGTGTACCCCTGATCTGCAGGGTCTCGTAACCATGGTGACAGGTGCCTGTCAGGGGATAGCCGAGAAGTTCTTCATCAAGCTGTATTCCAGCTGGTCAGTCTCAACCAAGATACCCTGGCTGTTATCAGCGAGGTGAGTAATGATTGGTTGGTTGGTTTGTTGTTTAATGCCACACTCAGCAATATTCAAGCTATATGATGGTGGTCTGTAAATAATTGAGTCTGGACCAGACAATCCAGTGATTAATATCATGAGCATCGATCCACGCAATTGGGATCGATGACATGCATCAACCAAGTCAGCAAGCCTGACCACCCGATCCTGTTAGTCGCCTTTTACGACAAGCATAGTCGCCTTTTACAGCAAGCATGGGTTGCTGAAGACCTATTCTACCCCGGATCTTCACGGGTAAGGTTAGTAATGAACTACTGCACATTAATACAGGAAAATACTCACTCGTAATGAAACCAAGGAGAGGGCCTGGTGTAAAGCAATCGCATTAAAATCAGATTTTTGTTCTCGCTATTGCCAAACAAAGATCTTTGGACATCCCATTATGGTTCACTTCAGAACGACCTTTCAAGCGACAATAAAAGCATCACTTACGAGATCATGAAAGTGACAGTTGGAATGTGTTTTCTAATCATGCAACCTCGAAAACGTAAACACGGGGTATTCCAAATGACAGTTACGGCCCGTACGACTGATTCCGTCAAAATCATTGTTTATCTCTCGCTTCCATGGGAGAAACATTTGAATGGCAGGGGCATTTCACAGTACGTTGGAATCTCATACAATCCATACAATCTCAACCATATATTAGACATTCCGGAATGTTCGTTTGTTCAGTTTTCAAATTTTATATAGAGAACTGTGTCAACATATTTTTCAAGCATAGGAAGTCGCCAGGTTGAAACGAGTGCCGTAAAGCTTGAGAAAGGTGCTTACTAATTGGCTGATGTCGACTCCTTGTTACTCATTTCAGTGGTAGGTCAAAGTTTGCGATAGGTCGTTCTGATGTGACCCGTAATGGGATGTCCTCAGATCTTTATTTAGCGGCAGCGAGAACTTAGATCTGATTTTAATCAGCTTTGGTGTAAAGAAACTGTACATAAATGATCTTTTAATGCAATATATGAGGTGAAACACCTACTGCCTAAACAGATGATTGGTTTTTCCATCTATTCAATGCACAATTTAGATGTTCCTATGGTATATATTACTGGGTAATTCAGTGTTTTACCTTGAACTAAAAGCTAGGGGTCCAGGGGACCCCAATAACAAATATCTTTACAGAAGATATGATGGTCCTGTAAAGTAATAAAATAGTGTAGTGTACTGAATAGTAAGATTTGACAAATACTTCAGTACTTAATAACAGGACCTTTATAATTCTTGTCAAGAATTTGGTATAAAGAATATTATTGTTCATCCCTTGTGAAGTTCTTTTGTGTGTCCATTCATACACTGTGTACTGGATGCACAATGCTACGTCGTGTAAACCCTGGTAATTTGATTAGACAGCTGTGTTAAGCTTTGTTGAACCAAGCTGTGATACAAGAGAGGACCCAGGGTATTTATGACAGGAGGATGTAATGGCGGATGCTGTGTATTATGTTCACCAGGCACTAGGTAGGCCCCACGGCACCGTCAGTGCAGAAGCCAGGCAGGGAGGAGAGGACAACGTGGTGCTTCCTGCAGGTAGGTCCTGAGTGAGTGAGTGAGTTTGGTTTTACGCGGCTTTTAGCAATATTCCAGCAATATCACGGCGGGGACACACATTGTACCCATGTCGGGATTCGAACCCGGATCTTCGGAGTGACGAGCAAACTCTTTAACCACTGGGCTACCCGACCGCCCTAGGTAGGTCCCGAGATAACCGGTCATGATCCACACACGATTCTACACGTTTCACAAGTCTGACATGATTCTTTGGAGCACCATCATATACTAACTCCGGGATGTATTTTGTTTTAAATTGTGACACAGGGCACCCACAAAGATGTGCACTTAATTAAATGCGTCAACGCGAAGAATACTTTATATCCATTGCTAAACATGTTTAACTCAGGGAATGAAACATGAATTTGATTACTTATTAATTTAGAAAAATGTCTCATTCTGTTTTGTAAAGATTGATAAATCTCTTTTTCTTTTCTGAATTCACAGTTTCAGTTTATGAATATGAGGGACGGTGGGGTAGACTTGTGGTTAAAGTTATCGATTGCCCACATTTGATTCTGCACATGGGTGTAATGCGTAAAGCCCATTTCTGGCCTCCCCTGCTGTGATATTTGTGGAATATTTCTAAAAGAGGCATAAAATGATACTCACTATGGATCATGTTTTGTTAGTCCAGACATTGAAACTGGGAAGTATATGTCCACATTGACAAGGTTTTACTGTATGTGGTTTAATGTGGAGTGATGTTAAATGAAGCTTGTGTGTTTACTTGCATATTGTCCCCACTGTTCAGTGTTGAAGAGTCTGGGGCAGCTGGATAGACCCGCTGACCAATCTGTACCTCTCCTGATGAGTGAGAAGTGTGTCCAGCGCCTCCTCCGCTGTACCGGTCAAGGGGGAGACTCCAAGGGGGATCCGTCCAGGACTGTACAAGACAAGGTAATGGTTCCCTTCTGATGACCCCGCTTGACCTATGTTAGAATGGATCCTCAGCACCCCACTGTACATGAGACTTTGTGACTTGGCTTATTGTGTTCCTGGTCCCAAAAGCATAGATTGATGCTTATGTTTTCAGTTGTATTTTACTGGCTCTATGGTAAAACTGGAATGTTTTTTACAGTCTCTATGGTATAACTGGAATGTTTTTTACAAGTTCTATGGTATAACTGGAATGTATTTTACAAGTTCTATGGTATAACTTGAATGTTTTTTACAGGCTCTATGGTATATCTTGAATGTTTTTTACAAGTTCTGTGGTATAACTGGAATTTTTTTTACAGGATCAATGGTATATCTTGAATGTTTTTTACAAGTTCTATGGTATAACTGGAATGTTTTTCACAGGCTCTATGGTATAACTGGAATATTTTTTACAGGCTCTATGGTATATCTGGAATGTGTTTTACAAGTTCTATGGTATAAGTGGAATGTTTTTTCACAGGCTCTATGGTATAACTGGAATGTTTTTTACGGACTCTATGGTATAACTGGAATGTTTTCTACAGGCTCAATGGTATAACTGAAATGTTGTTGATAGATTAGATTTTGTTTGTTGTTTAATGCTGCACTCAGCAGTATTTCAGCTATGACAGCAGTCTGTAAATAATTGAGTGCATAGAAAATCCAGTGATTGATATTATGAGGATTGATCTGCACAATTGCGATATGAAGACATGCATCAACCAAGTCAGTGATCCTGACCACTTGATCCTTTTAGTCGTCTCTTACAACAAGCATAGTCACCTCTTACAACAAGCATGGGTTGCTGAAGACCTATTCTATTACAGATCTTCAAGTGGAACTAGATTTGGTCCCCAGCAACCTAGGCTGTTTGTAAGAGGCGACCAAATGGATCGGGCAGAAAGACTTTGTGACTTGGTTGATTGCGTGTCCTTGTATCCTGACGATGTAGATTGTTGCTTATATATCGACCCATGATGATCCGGGGTAGAATAAGTCTTCAGCAACCCATGCTTGCCGTAAAAGCCAACTATGCTTGTCGTAAGAGGCAACTAAGGGGATTGGGTAGTCAGACTCACTGACTTGGTTGATGCATCTCATCAAATCCCAATTGCGTGGATTGATGTTCATGATGTCAATTACTGGATTGACTGGTCCAGACTCGATTATTAACACACCGCCGTCATATAGCTGGAACATTGCTTAGTGCGGCGTTAAACAACAAACAAACAAACAAATGTTGCTCATATATCAATCACTGGATTGTCTGGTCTAGACTCGAATATTTCCATGCAGCCCTTATATAGCTGGAATATTGCTGAGTGTGGAGTTAAACAACAAACCGCTATATGTTTATAACTAGTGATAGTGTGTGACATGTTCCACCTGTCTGTCTGGTCAGAATGACAACCTGCCCACCTGTGTACAGACGATCCACCAGCTTCTGAGAGATGACCGACTCCAGCACCGCCACTTGACCAGTCTCCTCATCAAGGAGGTCAGTTCCCCCTCACCTCCACACCTGTCATTAGTGAAGCATTCTTTCATTCATTTCTTGCTGTTAAATGCTTTCTTGAACAATACCAATTTCTTTCAAGTTCCCCCCCTCTTTTTTTTTTTTTTGCTTGCAAAGGGGACTTAGTTTGAAATCCAAGTTTATCCCTGTATACGATACTATTCTGAATGGATTTTAACAATTAAGCCAGACTTGTTTTCAGCATATTATAACAACTAGCCAGCAAACTAATTAGGTTCAGTAGGTGCTGCAAATAAAATGATTTTGATTTGGGGATGTAAATCTAGGTAAATCTACAAAAAATGTTTGAATTTCTTTCAGGATGTCCTTCCACCAGAATTACTGTGGTGCCTTCATTGTGAAGACATCATGGGACTTGCTACTTATGTCTCCAGGTTGGTAATATCTGCTACATGACATTATGGGCTAGAATAGTTCTTCAGCTAGGTGGCTAACGGGATTGAGTGGTCAGACTCACTGACTTGGTTGATGCAGGTCATCGTATCCCAATTGCGTGGATCCATGCTCATGATATCAATCACTGGATTGTCTGGTCCAGACTCAATTATTTACAGGCCGTTGTCATATAGTTGGAATATTGAGGAGTGTGGCATTAAAAAACAAACAAACAAACAAAAACAAGATGATTGATTGTCAAGGGCTTTTCACTATTGCAAAACTTAAGAACAGTATTGTGATACTGTTATAATATTATCGCAATAGATTTCGTGTTCCTTTTCTGTCCGGGGGCAAGGTTGGCCCAGTTGTCTAAGGCGCTGTGATTCGCTGTGCAGAGTTGCGTCCCTTGGGAACGCCAGAAACCTATGATTGTGGGTTCGAATCCCGGTTTGCCCCGATTATGTTTCTAGGTTTGTCAGCACCATACCTGTGCTCATGGGTTTCACCGAAGTGGTAAACGTCTGAGACCTGCATCACTTCAGGCTTTCCTCCCACATTAAGCTGACACACCGCGATATAACTGGAATACTGTTAAAAGCGGCGTTAAACTAAACTCACTCACTCACTCACTCCTTTTCCGTCCCACATCATTCAGCAGAAGTTTTTGGGGAGTTAAGGAAGATAACTCTGATTATTGTGTGGTATGAATAACTTGTTTCGGAATGAATACTAATCTCTGTTTGAATGAGGTGTATTTGAAATTATTGGAAGAGATAATTATAAACAGTATTTTTTCACTTAAGAAATAAATGACGGATCGGAGTTGTTTATTGTACAATAAAACACTGTAGGGAGAATAGACCATGAGGGGCGCAGCCGCAAGTTGTTTATTCTTCCTGCAGTGTTTTATTCTAAGATAAACGAAAACCTTAAGTTGTTTGTTTCTTATGTGAGACATGTACATCATGTACAGCCTCTTTAAGGATTTAAATAATGATGACTCCCTCAAAAGACTCCAAACTTTTCGGATATTCCCACAATCCTCATGTCGATTACCTGTATCTTTTCTCCCAGGTCTGTTTGTCATATTTCTCCCGCTTGTAGATGCGATTGTTTGGCCATCGCGTTTATCTGCATTTCCCAGCTTCATCTATGGGGAACAACTCACTCACTCCAATATAAGACGTCATCAAGTTGTGATTGTATGTTCGAATCTCCAGAAATGACGTCATTACAATGTTTTTTCATGAAATAAACCACTCTTCGTTCTTCACTGTTTTTTTGCTATTTATTGCATAGCTATCTTATATTAGGCTATGGATAATGTAGCATGACGTCCATGTTGAAATTTGAACCTGTCATCAGTATATATTGCCATTTGGGTCATGAACGATTCAATCAATCGCTTCATCGTTACATGGAACGACAGTGACGTTGCTCCTATTGGGATAAACAGATAGAAAAGGTCCCCAGCATGCTTGTCTGGTTATAATGTTGTTGGTTGGTTTGTTGTTTTACGCCGCACTCAGCAATATTCCAGCTATATGACGGCGGTCTGTAAAATAATCGAGTCTGGGCCAGACAATCCAGTTATTAATATCATGAGCATCAATCCACGCAATTGGGATCAATGACATGCATCAACCAAGTCAGCGAGCCTGACCACCCGATCCCGTTAGTCGCCTTTTACGACAAGCATAGTCATCTTTTACAGCAAGCATAGGTTGCTGAAGACCTATTCTACCCCGGAATCTTCATGGGTCTGGTTATTATGTGTCGTCTGGCTAATGCAGGGATAGACTGTTCCTGTATTTGTTTTAACAAATGCCACAGGGCACTTCTATGGAGGTACAGGTGTGCCCTTTGGGATTTACCGTATTTGACGTAATAAGCGCCCAGGGCTCTCTCAAAATTAGAAATAGGGGGCTCTTATTAGAATATTATTTTGGTGAAAAAAACAGAGTTGAAGATCATAAATTTTGTGGTTTATGCTGACAGCCTGAAATGTTATATATGACAGATATATTTTTCCAGAACTTAATTACCCATAATTAAGAGTCCATATAACACACAAGTGCGTATTATACACGAATAAATAAGTCTTGTGTACATTGATCAATCGGAAGGGGTGCTAATTGGGATTGTTCACTAGCCAATATATCAGCAAATATCACTGTGGGCGCTTATTAGAGCAGGGCGCTTATTACGTCGAATACGGTATGTGTACCAACCAGAATACTTTTCAAAAAGTTCAATGAAACAAGAAATAGGCTGTCCATAATAATGTTCATTAAGCATGTTCAGATGTTCATCGGGGCGGTCGGGTAGCCTAATGGTTAAAGCGTTCACTCGTCACGCCGAAGGCCCGGGTTCGATTCCCGACATGGGTACAATGTGTGAAGCCCATTTCTGGTGTTCCCCGCCGTGATATTGCTGGAAATTTTGCTTTAAAAAAAAGCAGCGTAAAACCGTACTCACTCACTTAGATGTTCATCATTTCTATGTGTTTGTCCAGGCTGCTTGTGTGAATGTTTTTAAAAAGAGAGAAATTGCACAGAATATGTGTGTATTGTTTTCATGTTTAAGTGTTAAAATTCTATTCTTGCAGTAAAATGACTGAACCCCAGTTTGTTAAGAAGTTCAGTTCAAACCTGTATGAACTGTGTGAACACAAAAACTCAGAGAACACCAAAAGTGACCCAAAACGAAGACAAGCAGCAATTTCTGGTAGGTAGATTTGTCCATATTTACAAATTACACAACTTGTAGTTAAGTCTATATGAGAGAATTGCTAATGATTGTTTCAATATGCCCAAAGAAAAGTATTTTTTGCCAATCTCAGCTAATGACACCCTGAGGTCGGCAATATTCCTTTTTAAAACACATCTGTGACGTCATTCTATTGTGTGAGCGTTCCATTTTTTTTAAGGAATGGTGACTTGATTGTGTTCTCTGTCGCTGTTGCATGTGCCCCATCATGAGCTGATCTTTTCAGTGTATGTTTTATGGCTCTGTAGAATGTTTTGTCAAAATGTAAGAGTAGAGATGTGTTTTAAGTAGGGCAGCGGCTCCATTATTTTTAAAGAATGGAGAGTTACTCAGACATTGCCCTCTATATATTGTCTATGTAGCTCTGATATATTGTTTCAAAAGCTAAAAATATTAATTATAATATTGTTATTTCTTAACTAAAGTCTCAGTTCCGACACTGTTTCAATACATTTCTGGCATCCCCTACCCTTATATTGCTGGAATATTGCTGAAAGCAGTGTGGATGCACTCACTCACTCACTCACTCACTCACTCACTCACTCACTCACTCACTCACTCACTACTCACTCACTCACTCACTCACTCACTCACTCACTCACTCACTCACTCACTCACTCACTCACTCACTCACTCACTCACTCACCCACCCACCCACCCACCCACCCACTCACTCACTCACTCACTCACTCACCTATGTATTCCCAAGGTATATTGATCAATGTATTCCCCAGGTATATTGAGCTTCCTGATCAACTCAGGGTTTCCAGAAAAGAAGGACAAGGAAGTCGTGTTCAGGAAAGTAAGTACACACAACTTTCAGGATCTCCTGGATTATGTCCAGGTTTGCATGATTAAAATTCTTGTTATTTCTGCACTATGCTGGTTTAAGTAAGTGTGGTCCTCCCTCCCTCCCTCCCTCCCTCTGTCTTTTTTAAAGCCCCCGGGGAGCTTCTCATGGCAAATCAGTATTCTCATCTACAAAACAGGCCTCTGTAATCACCATAACACTAGTTTCTACTGTTACCATGGTTACCACCTGTTGCAGGTTTCCGCAGCTGTACTGGATGATGTCATCAGAGGTGAGTAAGATGATTTCTGAAGTAAAATTATAATACAGCGTGGAGGCTCCTCAACAAGTGCTTCGGTCAGTGACTCTAGTGTCTGCTGTCTGATGTGACAAGTAACACACAACAAGCACACTGATCTGGTGAAAGTGAAATGAGCAGGTCACTAAAAGCATGTTTACTTCACACTGCCCTTGACTCCAAGATGTTTTTTGGAATTTCTGTGCTGCATTTTAGAAGTCTTTGAAAGGCATTTAGAAGTGATACACATAATGAAGAGAAGTTATATATATCAACTTCTTTATGAAGAACACAATGTTTCGGGGTTTATACTTGCTTCTTCATCCTTGATCACTTGATGAAGGAGTAAGTTCATACTCCAAAACATTGTGTTCCTCATGATGAGGAAGTTGACATCCATTTATTCTCTTCTTTATGCATTTTAGAATTATTTAAAAATAAATAAATTCCTATACGTCTGGGCTCTAGGGGTCTAGGGGTCTAATGAAGATATACTCACAAGCAGCATTAACTGAACCGGGCCTCTGACATCAGTGAAGGCGTGTGTGTTTGTGACAAGATAAACTAAATACTGCGTGCTGATTCTGTTTTCTGCTGTGACATAATGAAATTCTTGAAGAGTTGAACCTTTGAACAATGTTTGAGTTCATGCTTTCTATGTTGTCATCATAATATTCTGCTTCCAACCTCGTGAGTATGCCTGAACATGGCTTGTTGGTAGGGCTGGGACGAGTCCAAATTTACTACCCAGGTTCCCACCTTCCTATTACCCGACGCTACCCGGGTACCTGCCGTAGATATCTAGAGATATGTACAAACTGTCCGATTTGGAAGGTTTGACCGTAGCCCTGGCAAAATGCTTTTAGATATACGTGTACAATAATCTGGGCATGCATACACTGAAGTTTACTGCATGAAGTTTGATCTTTATTCAGACATATAAAAGTCAAAAGGAATGGGTGCATTGTCAGAAAGAAATGGGAACATTAGTGACTTATAGTGTAACCACAGTGTTTTAGATATTTTTTTCCTTAAAAAATATATCACTTGTGTAACCACGGGTCCGGGTAGTCCTGATGGTAACAAACAATCTGACTTCGTTCGAAAAATATACTTATATGAATATCACAGATTTATAGGGTACTTTATTTGCCGGTCCACATGGACTGCCAGTCACCTGAATTACCGGTCCAAGCTTAATTTTACTGGTAAAAAACCTGGTAATTTCCGGTAAACAGGAACACTCTAACACACATTTTCTTTCTTTTACATACCTTCATACAGGCAATTAACTTCCAGACTTTTCTTTTAAGAAAAAATCCATATAAGGCTAAAAAAAAAATAATAGTCTTGATTCTCAGGCACCACCCGCATCATCATTTATTCTGCCACACATTTCATTTTTATTTCCATTTAAAAAAAATTTCAATAATCGTAATAATTAAAAACAGTGCGATCCAATATGGCACTCAGGTACTTCCCTTTAATGCGCACTGCTATACTGCAAATCTTGTGTTATAGTCATGGCAGTAGTAGGAGTTTGTAGGCTTGTTTATGGCAGGAGGCCCTTTCAGAGGTTGATGGTACACAACTGTTTATTTGGTTACATACGTTCTGTTATTTTCAAAAGTCATTGTCTGAGAACCAGTTCTTTTATTATTTTTTTATGTTTATGAATAATTCAATCAAAAGCCGACACTTTGGGAAGTGAAATTGCCTATGTTGGAGAACATGGACTTCACTTTGTCTGTGACATGACATTTCAGGCCTGGTAGATAGGGATGGAGAGCATGGACTTCACGTTGTCTGTGACATGACATTTCAGGCCTGGTAGATAGGGATGGAGAGCATGGACTTCACATTGTCTGTGACATGACATTTCAGGCCTGGTAGATAGGGATGGAGAGCATGGACTTCACATTGTCTGTGACATGACATTTCAGGCCTGGTAGATAGGGATGGAGAGCATGGACCTCTCATCGTATGTGACATGACATTTCAGGCCTGGTAGATAGGGATGGAGAGCATGGACCTCTCATCGTATGTGACATGACATTTCAGGCCTGGTAGATAGGGATGGAGAGCATGGACTTCACGTTGTCTGTGACATGACATTTCAGGCCTGGTAGATAGGGATGGAGAGCATGGACTTCACGTTGTCTGTGACATGACATTTCAGGCCTGGTAGATAGGGATGGAGAGCATGGACTTCACATTGTCTGTGACATGACATTTCAGGCCTGGTAGATAGGGATGGAGAGCATGGACTTCACGTTGTCTGTGACATGACATTTCAGGCCTGGTAGATAGGGATGGAGAGCATGGACTTCACGTTGTCTGTGACATGACATTTCAGGCCTGGTAGATAGGGATGGAGAGCATGGACTTCACATTGTCTGTGACATGACATTTCAGGCCTGGTAGATAGGGATGGAGAGGAGCAGCAGCTAGTGGCCTTTGTTGGGCTGACCTACATCGAAGACTCACTGAACCAAGTCAGCTTCAAGAAGTTCTGTACCCACTCCCTCTCTCTCCTCATGAGCCACAGACCCAGTTTGAAAGGTGAGACACACTTGCTATAAGTCCTTCAGGCATCTATATTAACTTGTCAAACATTGTTGTGGAATCAAGCCTTGGACTGATCATGATCAACTGAACATTTTGTTTTGCTGTTTCAGTTTCTCAAGCATTTAAACAACAGACACAGTGGAAATCTGCAAAAGTGTCAGAAAAGATTTCAGATCTTTACAAACAGGTACTGTGTCCTATTTGCTTCTACTCCTCTTGCTCAAATTGGTTTTGGTGTGGTTTAAAGCTGAGGATCTTCTTATATTATGATGTTTACTAAAACTAGTGAAAACAGAGTTATGGTGTATCACCTGTACATTGTATGAGTATGACCTGAGCTACATACACTTGTCGAAGGGGTGACCAAGTGGTCAGACTTGGTCACTTGGTCACATTGTATGACCTGTACACTGTATGATGTGTATGCTGTATGACCTGTATGCTGTATGACCTGTAAGCTGTATGACCTATAAGCCGTATGACCTGAATGCTATATTACCTGTATGCTGTATGACCTGTATACTATATGACCTGTATGCTGTATGACCTGTACATTGTATGACCTGTACATGATATGACCTGTATGACCTGTGCATTGTATGACCTGTACACGATATGACCTGTATGGCCTGTATGCTGTATGGCCTGTACATTGTATGACCTGTATGCTGTATGACCTGTATGCTGTATGACCTATAAGTCGTATGACCTGAATGCTGTATGACCTGTATACTATATGACCTGTATGCTGTATGACCTGTACACTGTATGACCTGTACACTATATGACCTGTATGGCCTGTATGCTGTATGACCTGTTCATTGTATGACCTGTATGCTGTATGACCTGCACACTGTATGACCTGTATACTATATGACCTGTACACTGTATGACCTGTACACTATATGACCTGTACACTGTATGACCTATACACTATATGACCTGTATGGCCTGTATGCTGTATGACCTGTTCATTGTATGACCTGTACACTGTATGACCTGCACACTGTATGATCTGTACACTGTATGACCTGTACACTGTATGACCTGCAGCTGTTCCTGCCATTTGAGTCGAGGGAGATCATGGAGGTCTTGCAGCGGATCTTGGAGAGACAGGAAGTGAACTGGCAGACCGTGCTGTCCTTCATCGCAACCTTCCTCGTGTGCTTCCCTGACGCACCCAAACTCTTGCAGGGTAGGAACTTATTTGTAGCTGACGATGTGATATGATGATGTTATTAGGCTATTGTCAGACAGATACTAGAAGCAACATGCATGCATTTGTGTATCACTCAGCTACATTAGATGCAACACATGACATACAAGTACTTTAGACTAAGAAAATATCATTACTGTATTCGGCGTAATAAGCACCCAGGGCGCTCTCAAAATTTGAAATAGATAATTTGAATATTAGAATATAATTTGTGGCCGCTTATTACGTTGAATATGGTATATCACTTTGTCTCATGTTTTTGAGCCCCAAACAATACATGACCTCACGCTTAATGAAGTAATCATGGTAGACAGTTCAAGCCCACTGAAGACATTAAAGTCTTGCCACTGAAGTTATTCTACAAATTATACTACACTATGCACACGAGGTAAGCTATTCAAATATTCAAACATACCTCAAAACGTACTTTTTTCACTGATGCTCATTTTAATCAAACTTGATCTGATGGTAATTTTGCACCATAACAATTGTATGCACCGATGATATATCTCTGGCTGTTTGTAATCGTGCTACTTGTAATGTCATGTGACTGATCATGTTTTGCATCTGTTTTGAACTTGAGTGAGTGAGTGAGTGAGTTGGGTTTAACACTGCTTTTAACAGTATTCCAGTTATAATGCGGCGTGTCAGCTTAATGTGGGAGGAAAGCCTGAAGTGATGCAGGTCTCAGATGTTTACCACTTCAGTGAAACCCACGAGCATGGGTATGGTGCTGACAAACCTAGAAACATAATCGGGACGAACCGGGATTCGAACCCACAATCATAGGTTTCTGGCATGTCCAAGGGACGCAACTCTGCACAGCGAATCGTGGCGCCTTAGACGACTGGGTCACCTGTGCCCCCAGAACTTTAGTGTGAAGGAGGGGCTCGAAATCATGTGACCGTAACAAGGAGGCAGGAGATCAACTCGTCTATTGGGATGGTTATTCGACACTTAATCAGAAATACTTCTTAGGTCTTGAAAACACAGTATGCAAGGATACCTTAAATGAATCGAGGCTTGAATTCAGTGAACAGTCATGGCAGATTAATCTGGTCACTGCAGTGTTTCCTGATGGGGATCAGAATGTCTCATAGGAGGATGAGTGGCCACAGAGGGAACTAGCCCTCCTGCTGCAGTAACCGCCATACTTTAACATGACGAGGAATGCCAACATACCCTGACAGCATGGATCAATGTCATCACATTGTGACTGTGTAGTCTGACACATGTTACTGACATATGTGACCAGCCATAGGATAAGGGACCTTATGGGTGAAATGTCACATTTTGACTTTTCATTATACAGTGATCGCTCGCTATTGCGCTCTTCGATAAAGCGCTACTTCGGTTATTACGCGCGGTAACTCATGGCTCCCAAAATTTATGTACACTTTTAATACTGAGAGTTTTACACAGACATGATTGCATTGTTGTTCGTTGTTTATTTGCACATAACGCTTCTCATTGCATAATCAACGGTTTATCGCTGAATGGAGTTCTAATAATCTGTTTGAAAATATCCGCGGCAAGTCCCGGAAATACGATTGTTCAACTAGTTAACTTTTCACACTATACATCCTTTGATCTTAGAAGCGCATGCATGCAATAAAAGAGAACCACAAGTGAAGTTTATATTCTTAATTAGTGGGCAATCCAATTTAAGGCTAAACTGTCACACAAATGTAGTTGCTGTCACAACACGGCGGTCATTCATTTCGTAATCGCGCTTTCGTAACATCGCCTGTTTTTTCCCCGTAGTTATAACAAGCGATTTCATTGGATTAAAATTTGTTTCTAATGACGCTTTCTTGCCGAAATCTGCTACAAGTTTCGTGATTGGTCAATTTTGAGCACGTGACCTCAGGCAGCCAATCAAGCTTTGATACAAAGCTCGTGTTTGATAAATTTCAGAAGTTAGCGAAAGATTTTTTGTTAAATCGTGTTATTCTGAACGTTTTAAGCAGGAAATCACGATATATATTAAAAATATGGAACTTCGCGAATGTATCGTGCTAGGTTACGAGCTGTGACAAAGATTTTTCATGCATATATTTTTGCATTAAACGTTGTGTCCGAGCCGAGAATTCAAGGCGACGAAAGCCGAGATGTCATTTGACTTACATTACACGCGATCGCACAAAACGATGGAAATAATAACTTAGATGTAAGTTTGATTACTTTTAGATATATTTTTGTTGATTTTATTTATCACTTTGTATAATATATTTAAAGATTTGCTTAAAATAGTCTTTATTTTGCTCTTTGACATGTTCGATGCGGACCCGTTGTCGAAATGTGTGTCCGAGAATTTTATTTTCAATAACATCGCGGGAAATAGTGAATAATATTTTAATTTATTGATAAAAAATGATAAATTAGAATGGAATACGTATTTCAGACATTGTGAAATATGACAGATTTAATAAATGAATGATATTACAGGTAGATCTAGGTCCATAAAAATATATACTATTTTGACGTGACGTGAGATAAACACATAGGCCTATTGATGATTTGAGATTTGCCGAGCGCGCTCCCCCGCCTCGGCTTCGGTTAAACGGCTCATCGTCTATAACGCCCACCAATTATTTGGACCCCATTGGTAGCGCAATAGCGAGCGATCACTGTATTTTAAAACTACATATAGAATACTAAACGAGCTCCCGTGTAATACCAATTTTATGAAACGAGTGAATAGTTCTGGTATCTGACGAGCAAAAGCGAGTTTCATAAAATTGATTTTACACGAGAGCGAGTTTAGTATTTTATTTATTACTTGTCATTTATAATGTTTTTAGAATTATACTGTTGAGTGTAAATAGGCTGACACCTACACGATCCATGGCATAATCCAATTGAGTTTAACAGAATAATACTTCAAACACGTCAAAAGTTGAAACGTATGAATTTAATATCATACAATGGTCCACTTTTAGAATTCAGGCGTTCGTCCCACAAAATTATCGTAGTGCTAAGGCTATCACAACTCACATAATTTAACTTAGACTAACGACTGTTGTTGCGCTAGAGTACGATCGCCTTGTGGAACGGGGCCTTGCACCTCAAAGTTTACAATCACGTCACAATACCCGATGACGTAATTTGTTGAATTTTGTTGCAAGATCCATCGGCGAAACAATGCTGGGGTCATCGAGTGTGCATAAGCTCCTCCCAGTGATCTATCATCTCCACACACAATGTCGTTGAATACGCCAAGGGATGTTGAGAGCTTTCAATATTTGTTCGTGAAACGTGTTCCGAGAGTACATAAGCACGCGTTTTGGTATTACACAATGTGTAATAAAGCTGTATGTTTATTAAACGGGTGATCTCTTCACGGGCAAGTAATAAAGTATCTTAGGAACTAGAAAATACAATTCACAAGCTTCAAATCATATTTATTACAGACACTCATGACATCCAACATTTGACTCAATTTCTGCCTTATAACTGTTTATGTAATAACTGCAGTTTTTATACATAATGTCTGCTGAATTGAAAGTAGACATGAATGCTGAAAGGTTCTGAAATGTTTTTATTACATTACAAACTAACAAAAGGAAAATAAGACATTTTTTTTTTAATTCATTACTTATGGTGATCTTCACTGAAGTAAGTTTACATCAAACATCTTATGACGTCACAGCATATTGCATCCTAGCACCCATAGGGTCCTATTTCTCCTGGTGGGTTCCATGTGTTATTGTGTTTTTTACTGCACTTGCAGGTCATATCCACAGCCTGCTCTCGGACGGGTTGGAGAATGCAGACATGGAGAGCACGATCATCGCCTTCCTGCTGGCCAGACAGAGCTGTCTGGAGGGCCTCCATGTCTTCCCACACTACCAGGACTGGTTCCAGGTAGGTTGCCTTGTCGTTGCCATGGTTATATGTCTTCCCACACTACCAGGACTGGTTCCAGGTAGGCTTGCTGGGTCATTGCCATGGTTATATGTCTTCCTACACCACTAGGACTGGTTCCAGGTAGGCTTGCTGGGTCATTGCCATGGTTACATGTCTTCCCACACTACCAGGACTGGTTCCAGGTAGGCTTGCTGGGTCATTGCCATGGTTACATGTCTTCCCACACTACCAGGACTGGTTCCAGGTAGGCTTCATGGGTCATTGTCATGGTTACATGTCTTCCTACACTATCAGGACTGGTTCCAGGTAGGCTTGCTGGGTCATTGCCATGGTTACATGTCTTCCCACACTACCAGGACTGGTTCCAGGTAGGCATCGTGGGTCATTGCCATGGTTACATGTCTTCCCACACTACCAGGACTGGTTCCAGGTAGGCTTCGTGGGTCATTGCCATGGTAACATGTCTTCCCACACTACCAGGACTGGTTCCAGGTAGGCTTCAAGGGTCATTGTCATGGTTACATGTCTTCCTACACTACCAGGACTGGTTCCAGGTAGGCTTCATGAGTCATTGCCATGGTTACAAGTCTTTCCACACTAACAGGACTGGTTCCAGGTAGGCTTCATGGGTCATTGCCATGGTTACATGTCTTCCTACACTACCAGGACTGGTTCCAGGTAGGCTTCATGGGTCATTGCCATGGTTACATGTCTTCCTATACCACCAGGAATGGTTCCAGGTAGACTTGCTGGGTCGTTACCATAGTTACATGCTTGTCAACCTCCAGCCGCCCGAGTTCCAGGATTGGCTCATTGCTTTCAAAAGGTTGTCTCAATAGTTACATGTATGGAGGTCACAAGTAATAATCACTTAGTTACACAACATTCATACTGTGACGTTTTCTAGTTCACAAGTCTGATTTGGTTTATATCTTTTTATCTTTTCAGCAAACATTTGGTGATGCAAACAGAAGCCCAGCTTCCTCCAAGAAATCCTTCAGTTTCTTTATGAAGTTCCTGACAAATATTGTCCCCTATGAGTCTGCTCCACACCTCAAGGTCAGAGAACACAGCTGTCATTGATCACTGAGCAATCTCACATTTCAAGACTGTTTCTATTTGACAATTATTTTTCTTAGTAACATATTCCAATCATAATATGATTCAATATTTATGCATGAGACTTGTGTCTGCTGTTATTTTACCTTGGCCTATTTTCCCTCTGTTAATCAATTACGATCTGTTACAGTGTCCAGAAATTATAAGGGACCTCGAGGTTTAGCAGTTTGAATCTGGTGATCCCTAAATCAAGGTTTATGACAAGGACCCCTTGACTTCTGCGTTTAATTTCTAACCCTGTGTTTTGTGGTTTTGATTGTCTGTGTTTTTGCTAACTAGGTGCATATTCTCAGGCCACCACACGTGCCCCCAAAATGTCGGCCATTCCTAGCTGAGTACATCACGCTTGCCAAAACGAGGCTGACAGACCTGAAGGTGTGTTGTGTGTTGATGCCAGGATACCTTCTTGACAAACACTTGGGGCTATTTTAGTTTGGAAATACAGATTTTGTATACACAGGCCAGTAAAATATGTGAGAGCTAGAGTTGGAACCACTGTCCAATTTGGAAACATTGTGAAAATGGCTACTTTTGGGCCATGAAGAGTAAATTATGTCATTACAGACTGTAGTGGTGGATTTCTTATTTCAGTCAGCCAAACTTTTCATTAGGAGAAGGTAGAGAGAAAACACCTCCAAATGTTGAATTAATTAATTAAAGGTTTCTATATATATATGTCATTTTGGAAGCTTTTCTTACCTCAAATCTCACACCTTGATTGAAAAAAATTGATATTTAGGAGATAAACATGGTGTGTTTTTAATGCAGAGATAGTTTTCCTTTAGATTAAACTGCACTGAATTTATCTTTTGAAATACTTTGTGTTAAGTTCTGAACTCAGTTTTGGAGGGTTAAGTCTACAGATGACTTAGCTGTACACTGAAACACAGTATACCTATCTCAATTCTACCATCACAAAAACCAAATCTTTGGTGTCAGCTGAGCAGTTGAGTGAAGTGACATGGGTTTTGAGTTTGTTTTTAATTTATCAAGGAAACACCGACAACAGCTCTAAACATATTTTGGCATCTTTGCTCATTTGTTTTTTCATATCATTACTTTACTCAGATATTGCACAGGCATTGAAAGTGTGTAGCACAGCTACTTCACCAGCCAGCATGAAGTGGGCACACCAACAGAAATTAAGCAAGCCTCACAAGATTTAGTTCGACACTGCATGTCACTATTAGTATCTCACAATGGTCATTGTTTCAAATCAGCCAGATTGTAACACATATGTTTTGCAATGGGTCATGATGCCCACGTGTAACATTAAACGAAGATGAAGACATGACAATATGGCTTGTATGAGACGTTTGTACCAAGGTTTTCCCCTCTGCAGGAATCATGTGAGATCAGTGGAGGAATATATGACAACAGTATCGGCATCACCACCACCACCAGCAGCAGCAAGGAGGTATGTGTGTCATCATGTCAGAAACTTGATGTGCAGAGTTGTGTCCCTTAGCTATCTGGTATGTGTGTCATCATGTCAGAAACTTGATGTGCAGAGTTGTGTCCCTTAGCTATCTGGTATGTGTGTCATCATGTCAGAAACTTGATGTGCAGAGTTGTGTCCCTTAGCTATCTGGTATGTGTGTCATCATGTCAGAAACTTGATTTGCAGAGTTGTGTCCCTTAGCTATCTGGTATGTGTGTCATCATGTCAGAAACTTGATGTGCAGAGTTGTGTCCCTTAGCTATCTGGTATGTGTGTCATCATGTCAGAAACTTGATGTGCAGAGTTGTGTCCCTTAGCTATCTGGTATGTGTGTCATCATGTCAGAAACTTGATGTAAAGAGTTGTGTCCCTTAGCTCTCAGAATCTGCCACAGGTTTATGACAAACCAGTGACAAGAAATACTTTAACTTGTATAATTTTAATTATCAAGAAGATTCTATTATCTTCCTGTTCTTTATTATTACATGACAACTAATTATTACATGTGTTGATACACATTTGTTGAAGAACTCTAGGCTGAACATTAAAGTGATACTTCGTTCCACTCCTGTTACAGGTAGATCCTGTGGAGGCTGACATAGAGAGATCCCTCACCGCCTTCCAGGCCACTGGCAAAGTACCAACCACTGTCATGGAAGCTAGGTGAGGCAGACTTAGGAGGGGAATACATCCACCATGTGGCATACAGGAGCCAGCAAGGATGACATTCAGCAATGTTTGTTTGTTTGTTGTTTAATGATGCACTCAGCAATATTCCAGCTATATGAAGGCAGTCTGTAACTTATCGAGTCTGGACCAGACAATCCAGTGATTGATATCATGAGCATCGATCCTCAGTATTGGGATATGATGACATGTATCAACCAAGTCAGCGAGCCTGACTACCCGATCCCATTAGTCGCCTCTTTTGACAAGCATAGTCGCCTTTTACAGCAAGCATGGGTGGGTGAAGACCTATTCTAACCAAGACCTTCACTGTTAGCATGTGCATAGATTGGATGGTCAGGTTGGGTGCTCAGGTGGCCGATTTCATGTAACGTACCCTGACGGTTTGGCTCATAAACATCAACCACTGCTCTACCTGGTTCCCACTCAATTGTTTACAGGTCACCATGATACAGTTGAAATTGTGCTGACAGCTGCATACAATCAATTCCTTCCGGCTACCCATTTACAGCTGGGTGACACATTCAGTCAGAGACATTGCCAATGCAGGCCTCACTCACCCTTGTCTGTATGTCAGTGTTGGAGAAGACCTCAAGGCTCTATGCCCAGTCTCCAATTGCACCCACTAGCCAATAGCCTGAGTAAAGTAACTGTTCTTCCTGTCTTTGTAAGCTTAGCTCATAAAAGCCCATACCTTCACATTCAAGCTTTTAAGTTTGTTGCCACTGGACCAGTTCGAGTGTTGCCAGTAGATGAGTTTATGAGTTTATGAGATTGCATAAGTCAGTCTATCAACAGATGATGAGGGAATGTCGTGATTCCTTGTGTCAAGGTCAGTCTTCCGTGCTGATAAAAAATACACACTGTCAGGTAGTGTCGAGACTCTTTACCTATGTTATCAGATTCTCCTGTATTCACTTTCTAATACTGAATTATCTTCATATGTTACAGCATCTTCAGGAAGCCCTACTTTGTTGGAAGGTATCTGCGATCACTGCTGAAACCCAGACATGTAAGATGATACGTATGGAAGACAACGTTGTCATGTCCCTAGCATCTGTCACCTATCTCTGTACGTCCACTTGTGATGTCTCAGCCATGGAGGTGTTAGTAGGGAGGTGATGTTTGAGTCACATCACCTTAGTAGATGCCCATGGTCATCTCGATTTTCAACTCCCTGGGGAGTATTCAGCCCAAGCGGCCTGTGAGGCGCTAGAAGGTTAATAGTCACTAACTCTAATGCTAATTAGGTACTAATTCTCTGCTTGGTGACCAGAGGTATATTTCGCACAAAGCCACTTACTTTCTGTCTTCCTTCTCTCTGAAACCAGGACATAGCTTGATTCCTTGAAAAAAGTGACTACACAAGAAGCACATATGTATTCATAGTAATGGAGGAACATTGTGTATACAATCCTGTAATGCACTGATGATGATGTACGGCAGGCTGTCATGGTTATATCTTCAACTGCCGTCTGCTTCAGCTGCCGGACAGACCAGACATCCGGATGAAGATGATCGCATCACTGAGGAAGGCTGACAAGATACCAGCCTCCATGTACACCAAGTACCAGGAAGCCTGCCGCACAGAGTCAAGGCAACTGCTGGAAGGTAACAGAAACCCATGGATCTAGTTTGAGGCCAGATTGATTTCACCACTTGTTGCGCCTCCTTCATGACTAGATGCGTACCCTTCTGTCAGTGGCCATTACCAAATACCAGGAAGAGCAATGGAAACGCTGTTGAATATCCAGCGCCAGGGATTCTTTTGAAAAGAGTTAAAATTGGTGTTCGAAATTAATCATGAAAGTTGATGAGTCCTTGTAATAGCCCTAATGATAAAAGGGGATTTAGGGGTCCTTAGATTCAAATACAAGAGGAGAAGACCTCAACAAGGGTTCATGTCCTGGAAATTTGGTTTTGAAGATGTTTTCAGTCAATGCCTCAAAACACAAAGTAGCACATTGTAATCATTTAGTCAATACCCATTCTTACAGTCTCTCATTTCAGTGAGGTACTGGGGATCTACTCTACCCTGGAATCCCTACAGGGGCCGAATAATGAAGCAGCTAAAATATTGATCAGCATGTTGGATGTTTACGTGACACTTATTCATGTTCCCATAGCCTAATTTATTCATGAGTGTTAAAGGAACTTTGTTTTGTTGAAGGTGTGTTTGATGCCGACAGTCAGGACGATGTCATGCAAGATGCCATGTTGGCGCCATTGGAGCAGCTCCGCTTCCGGCTGCAGCAACTCCACAATGCAGTGGTCAGCACGGAGGTACAAAACAAACCGACTGGACAGAGAGGTGAGGAATTGTTGGAGGTCTCTGCCTAATGCGTGTGAAGTAGTTCCCTGTGATTGTCACTTAAACCATCTAAAAGGATGATTGGATACACCGGGATCAATTATTCACAGAGTTTTCAGGTTTATTTAATTATTGACTTCAAAAGATTTTGCATGATACCTCCATAAACACAAAAAACATATTGAAGTCAATTGCTATATATAAATATGTTAATTATGAATAACTTCACTAACTGCTTATTTGATGATTAACATAAAAACTGTAGACATAAATACAAAAACAGGAATTTTTCAGGGTGGTAATACAACACAAGCCTGCCCACCCTGTTATCTGCCAATCAGAAAAAAGTAATCTGCTAGTGGGTGTGGCTAAAACATATTCCGAATATAGGAACAAAAACACAAAAACAGTTGCTTGGTTAGCTGATCAAATGCCATGGAATCTGTTTAAATGTATTTATTGTAATATAATCTCACTGTTGGTTCAAATGCAAGCTTCAGCTCTATTATGCTATGCTACTGATCTGTCAGCACTCGCTGGTGTTAACGTCTGTAAACGTCTGTATCCATCACTTAATGTTCAAAGCAGTTTAAGTCTCTACTTTCTCACACCTTGCACTCATAGTATGTGTCTTATGTATCAGTGTCTGAGGTGATATCTGTGATCAGTGACAAGCTTGAGGCCTTGTTGAAGACAGGGGGGAATATGAGGACAAACGAGGCCCCAGCTGGTGTGACCATCAACCCCGACAAGCCGGACATTGCCCCTCTCCACCTTCAGGTCAGTGCCCCGGGAGTCTAATGGCCCCTGGTACCCCCAGTTGGTGGACCTAAGTTAGGGAGGGGATATAGCCCAGTCACACCCAGTGTGACCATCCACCCCGACAAGTCAGACATTGCCCCTCTCCACCTTCAGGTCAGTCCCCCGGGAGTCTAATGGCCCCTGGTACCCCCAGTTGGTGGACCTAAGTTGGGGAGGGGATATAGCCCAGTCACACCCAGGTTCGATACCCTACATGGGTTACCAGGGTATTATGTTAGAAAGCCCTTCTTGTGTCTTCCGCTCTGATATTGGTGAAATATTGCTTATGCTGGTGTAGATCCAAACTCACTTACCCACGCACTATCGTTGGGTCACGTTGGTCACAATGTCTACTGAGTGTGTATTGTACATATTTTGTGAGCAGCAAAGTCATCATCATATACAAGGTTCCTCTGGAGTGCAATCGGTGGCCCCCTTGTGTGAGGGGCAGCAATTTGCTGTGCAGAGTTGTGTCCCTTGGGCTTGCTGGAAACTTATTTTGAATCCTAGTTCGTTCTGATTAGGGAACCATGATCATTGATTTTTACTGAAGTGTTAAATACCTTAGACCTGCATCACCTTGAGCTTTCCTCGCCCACCAACCTGACATACTGTGACATGAGTGAGAAACTGTCCAAAGCAGTGTTATTTTGTCTTTTTGCCTTGCCTCCCTTCAAATATTATGGGAAAATAGGTATGTATTGTCATTTCTAGCTGCCATTTTACTATATGCAATTCCTTGTTAGTTTGGGTTATTCATGATTTCTTAAGACTTTGTCCTTAACATTTGTGTTTTCAGATTGTGGATTGTTTACTGAACGCTATTTGTGGTACTGTGACGGCTGACCTGGGTTCTCGATGCCCAGTGATGACATGGCTGCCGGAGCTGGTCAAGATGGCCTCCCAGCACAGCACCTTACATGCACCGGTCATACAGCGGGTGGCCTTGCTGCTGCTGAAAGGGGTAGGATGTTCCAGCACTGTATAGTGGAGCTTCAAGCTGTGGTGTCAGACATGGGGATATTCTGTAGTTTGTGAATCTTAGATATAAAGATTAATATAAAGATATGGGTATAAAGATGTTATGGTGTGGTGAGTGTGGTTTGGTTTGGTTTGATGTGGTGTGGTGTGGTGTGTGTGGGTTGGTGTGGTGTGATGTGATGTGGTGTGGTGTGTATGGGTTGGTGTGGTTTGGTGTGGTGGGTGTGTGGGTTGGTGTGGTGTAGTGTGGTGTGGTAAGGTGTGGTGGGATGTGGTGTGTATGTTTGGGTGTACGTGTGGGTGTATGGGTTGGTGTGTTTGGGTGTGGTGTGTTTTGGTGTGGTGTGCTGTGTGTGTATGGGTTGGTGTGGTGTGTATGGGTTGGTGTTTGCTGTGTGTTATGTGTGCTATGTGTGCTATGTGTGTGTTGGTGTGTGTTGCTGTGCTGTGCTATGTGTTTATGGGTTGGTGTGTGTTGGTGTGCTGTGCTATGTGTGTGTGTGTTGGTGTGTGTTGGTGTGCTGTGCTATGTGTGTGTGTGTTGGTGTGTGTTGGTGTGCTGTGCTATGTGTGTGTGGGTTGGTGTGTGTTGGTGTGCTGTGCTATGTGTGTGTGTGTTGGTGTGCTGTGCTATGTGTGTGTGTTGGTGTGCTGTGCTATGTGTGTGTGTGTTGGTGTGCTGTGCTATGTGTGTGTGTGTTGGTGTGTTGTGCTATGTGTGTGTGTGTTGGTGTGCTGTGCTATGTGTGTGTGGGTTGGTGTGTGTTGGTGTGCTGTGCTATATGTGTGTGTGTGTGTGTGGGGGGGGTATGGGTTGGTGTGCTGTGCTATTTGTGTGTGTGTTGGTGTGCTGTGCTATGTGTGTGGGTTGGTGTGTGTTGGTGTGCTGTGCTATGTGTTGGTGTGTGTTGGTGTGCTGTGCTGTGTGTGTGTTTGGGGGTGGGGGGGGGGGTTTATGGGTTGGTGTGCTGTGCTATGTGTGTGTGGGTTTGTGTGGTGTGGGTTTGTGTGAGTGTGGGTTGGTGTGGTGTGTGTGGATTGGTATGGTGTGCTGTTTGTGTGTTGGTAGGTTTGTGTGGTGTGTGTGGGTTGGTGTGGTGTGTGTGGATTGGTATGGTGTGCTGTGTGTGTGTTGGTAGGTTTGTGTGGTGTGTGGGTTGGTGTGGTGTGTGTGGATTGGTATGGTGTGCTGTGTGTGTGTTGGTAGGTTTGTGTGGTGTGTGGGTTTGTGTGGGTGGGTGTGGTGTGCGTGGGTTTGTGTGGTGTGTTGTGTGTGTGTTGGTAGGTTTGTGTGGTGTGTGTGGGTTGGTGTGGTGTGTGTGGGTTGGTGTGGTGTGTGTGGGTTGGTGTGGTGTGTGTGTGGGTTGGTGTGGTGTGCTTGTGTGTGTGTTGGTAGGTTTGTGTGGTGTGTACAGGTTGGTGTTGGTGTGCTGTGTGTGTGTGAGTGTGTGTTGGTGTGCTGTGCTATGTGTGTGTGTGTTGGTGTGTTGTGCTATGTGTGTGTGTGTTGGTGTGCTGTGCTATATGTGTGTGTGTGTGTGTGTATGTGTGTGTGGGGGGGGGTTATGGGTTGGTGTGCTGTGCTATTTGTGTGTGTGTTGGTGTGTGTTGGTGTGCTGTACTATGTGTGTGTGGGTTGGTGTGTGTTGGTGTGCTGTGCTATGTGTGTGTGGGTTGGTGTGTGTTGGTGTGCTGTGCTATGTGTGTGTGTGTTGGTGTGTGTTGGTGTGCTGTGCTATGTGTGTGTGGGGGGGTTTATGGGTTGTTGTGCTGTGCTATGTGTGTATGGGTTTGTGTGGTGTGGGTTTGTGTGAGTGTGGGTTGGTGTGGTGTGTGTGGATTGGTATGGTGTGCTGTTTGTGTGTTGGTAGGTTTGTGTGGTGTGTGTGGGTTGGTGTGGTTGGTGTGGTGTGTGTGGATTGGTATGGTGTGCTGTGTGTGTGTTGGTAGGTTTGTGTGGTGTGTGGGTTGGTGTGGTGTGTGTGGGTTGGTATGGTGTGCTGTGTGTGTGTTGGTAGGTTTGTGTGGTGTGTGGGTTTGTGTGGGTTGGTGTGGTGTGCGTGGGTTTGTGTGGTGTGTTGTGTGTGTGTTGGTAGGTTTGTGTGGTGTGTGTGGGTTGGTGTGGTGTGTGTGGGTTGGTGTGGTGTGTGTGGGTTGGTGTGCTGTGTGTGTGGGTTGGTGTGGTGTGCTTGTGTGTGTGTTGGTAGGTTTGTGTGGTGTGTACGGGTTGGTGTGGTGTGCTGTGTGTGTGTGAGTGTGGGTTGGTGTGGTTTGTGTGGGTTGGTGTGGTGTGTGTGGGTTGGTATGGTGTGCTGTGTGTGTGTTGGTAGGTTTGTGAGTGTGGGTTGGTGTGGTGTGTGTGGGTGTATGTGTGGTGTGTGTGTGTGGGTTGGTGTGGTGTGTGTGGGTTGGTGTGGTGTGTGTGGGTTTGTGTGGTGTGCTGTGTGTGTGTTGGTAGGTTGTGTGGTGTGTGAGTGTGGGTTGGTGTGGTTGGTGTGGTGTGCTGTGGGTGTGGTGTTGGTGGGTGTAGAATATGCAAGTCATGAATAACAAATGTCATCTTGATTGATAATCCACAGGGTTCAACCCTCAACCATCAACACATGACAGGGTTGTCTGCCCTTGTGTGTCACCTCTCCAGTCTGCAGCATCTGTTTGGTCCAGTCACCGCCCACAACTGTCACCAGCAGGGAGATAACTCTGGCAGGCTTGTCGATGTCCTCGTCCATCATTTCCCTATGAGAACAGGGGACCAACTTCTCTCAACACTGCAGTGAGTTGATGCCCCATCCTTTCTTGGAGATACTGACACAAACAAACCACGTATGATGTATTCATTTGGTGATGACTTAGAGGTGACTGTTGGGTTCATGTCAGAAGCTTTGTGGTACCTTACAATAGCTGTGGCTCCTTTGTTGTAGTATTGTGGGGCCATTATCTTCGTAATTTCCTGACTGTATTTGACATGGTGTCAGGCCATGGTGTTTTTGTCAGTACAAGACAGCAATAGGAATCACACCCATAGTAATTCTCTGCAGCGATCAAGGACTTACTCATCTTCCCGAGGCAAGTGAGTTAACTGACTATAAATGTCCAGCATCAAGTATGATAATATGATTACACCATTACAAATGCCCTAAACTGAAAACACTGTATTTCAACACATCATGATGCTTGTCAAACATATCCCAACATGTGATGAAGCTTCTCAAACATATTTCAGCACGTGATGATGCTTGTCAAACAGAGGATAAAAATGTCAAAATCACATATTAAAACACTCAGAGGATAAATTTTTTCTGTGTTTTGGTGGTACGTCTAGCCACATCAGTAAATCACCATCAGCTGTGTAATGTTTCACGCAGGTTCTGCACCAACTATCTGGAGTACTCATTTCTCGGGTTTAAAAAATCTGACACCAAGTCATCCGAAGAAGAGTCTACAGCTGTGATTCCAAATGAACTTGTTAAAATGGTAAGTATTATTTTTCACTTGAGTTCAATTATTTACAAGTTGTAGAATATTGCTGACTGTTGTGTAAAACAACATTGCCTTACTCTACAAGAGACTGAGGCTATGTGTGGCCAGTGAATGTGTGCTTCAACTCACTCTGCAGTATGATAACATACAGCTGTTTTCTTGTGCTGCAGTGTCTTCTCTGTTGTCAGTTCTGCCTCCTGTGTTGGCGCCTCCTGCCATCCACACGGACCATGGTGACCTCAGATTCCCAGCATGCATCTGCCTACACAGTGTTCAGCTCGGACAAGTACCAACAGCTGCTGGGCCATTCACAGGTACGCACGTGCGACAGCAGGGAGTATTTAGATTATGACCAACAAACTGTGAGGAATTACAGATTAACTCCCATGTGTTCTCATTTCGACTCGATTATTAATAGACAGCCGTATATAGCTATAATATTGCCGAGTTTGGCATTAAACAACAAACAAACAAACAAAGATAAACTTTATCCACAATTTGTGAGGATGTTTCTGAAGCTGGTGTATTTTTCCAGGTGTCATTGGAGGACTGGGTCAGAAGGGAACTGGATGTGAATCCAGACCAGGATTGTCTCCCCTACTCTCTGAGGTAATCAGGACATCCCAGTGTTGTTCAGCACCATATAACAGTATTTGAAGGTTGTGGCTCACCATTACCCCAACTATGACCTGTCTTGATGTCTCGAAGATTTTCGGCTTGTACCATAAAAGAGAGTTACCAACGATTTTGCATTATCTATCCAAATTGAATGAATGGAATAAGCCCGGAGCTCAGGAATCCTATGAGAAAAGGAGGCCTCTGTCTGTGAGCTAGCCTACATCTATAGTTACTTACCTGGGTAACAACTCCCATGTAACTGTTTACAAATATGTCAGATGTACTTCAATGGTCTCCAAGGTTGGGAACCCATGGTGATTCCGGGTTAGAAAAGGTCCCCATTTTATGATACATTACAAAATACACCTACCTTGGAATCAATTCATATACAGACCGATTTGAAAATGCACCAACATGAGTTGTGGAGTAACGTACGATTCGAGGCCCATGATACAATACATTGATACCCATGTATCATGATACTTACAAGTATACAATACATTACGTTTTGTTTGTAGAAAAACATGTGAATACATGTAAAAACAGATTTAATTTTTTTTTAACAAAACTGTACAACAACCAGCTTGCGCAGATTCTGTGGTATTTCCTGGTTGGCTATAAATAGGAGACACATTCACATTCTACCCTATACGTTTCTGCCCTACAATGTCACATCTTCCATCTCTGAAAGTTAAGAACAAATGATTCAGGGTAACGATTCACCTTCGAAAAGGAAGAATATGATGACGCGACCCCACTGTATCTTTGCACCTCTTGAAGTTCGGGGGTTCAATTCCCCGCTGCATCTTACCAAAAGATGTTAAAAGATGTTGTTACCCTGCCTGGTGCTCGACATTAGGAGGATAAGACACTGTGTCTGAGTGGGGTGTCCATGTTTAACTGCGGCATGGTATCTCAGTGGGCCAGCACTATAAAATCAGCATTAGTTCAGTCTTGTACAATCATCCACCCACACACATATGTATGATATGAAAGTGCAATAATCTTTAAACCTCAATTTACCCCACCTCTCCAATATCGCCAGACAGGACTACTTCAGCTGGGCGGTGTACGGACATTTTCTGGCTTCAACGGACGGACACACAGATGTGGCAACTGTCTGCTCAGTTCTGCTTGACGCTCTCGTCAACAAGCACAAACAGTGAGAGAAGATAGTTTCAATATCAACATATTTATCTCATTCATGTTTTGAAAGAATTCACTTCAACAAAAAGCATGTTATTTCTCAAATGTTGCTGGCTAATATAATGCTTAACTGATCAAATACTTTTTGACTTGTTTCCAAATGATTATGATTGAGTTTACAAAAGTTGATGGATTTTCACCAAATGTTTAGACAGTGCTGTATATCAGATAATCATCCACATCAATAACAAGAGCAGAGGTCACATGGCAGTGAATAAAGTGGTCTTGAACTCTAGATCGTAACTTTTACAAACTTCAGTGGTTATCAATCTCATTAACATCAGATCTTATTTCTTGCTATCGCTAAACAAAGATCTGAGGACATCCCATTACGGGTCACGTCAGGATGACCTTTCATCCAACCAATCAGAGCGTCACTTACAAGATCGTGAAAGTGACAGTCTGGATGTGTTTTCTGATCATGCAACCACGAAATGTTTAACAAGGGGTATTCTGATTGACAGTTACGGGTTTTATGATTATATCCATACAATCTAGGCCATCTATAAGCCATTCCAGAATGGTCTTCTTATCAGTTTTAACATTTTAAATCGAGAATACGTCAAAATATGTTTCGAAAGTAGTCGCCAGTTTGAAACTAGTGTTGTAAAGCTCGAGAAAGCTGCCTTCTGATTGGCTAATGTGGATTTCTTCTCAGTCATTTCATTGGTCGGTTAAAATTAACGAAAGGTCATTCTGACGTTACCCGTAATGGGATGTCCTCAGATCTTTGTTTAGCGGTAGTCTAAGATCTTATTTTAATGAGATTGCAGTGGTTATTTACCAAGATCATGTGGATCGATCAGATCTCACCATTCTGATATGGAGGTATGACAATGAATATTATTGTTCCTCCCTCGGGAAGCAATATATATTTTTTCTGCATCCATTCTATGCATTTATGCATACTGGTCTGCTGGACTCATGGAATACATGAAAACATTTCACTTTGTGTCAGGGCTGTGTGCATGTTGGACAAGCCACAGTGTGGGAGATGTACAGGGGGAGACAACTCCAGCAGGGATAGCTCACCAGAGATCCTCTCACTTCTCCAGGTACTTGCTCTATTAAGAAACCATTGCCAGTAGCATTCATAACACGTATTGTTGTCTACTGGATGAGTGAATTTATAAATACTTATAAAAACATGCCAGCACCAATAAGAAATGTGACATCTATCAAAACATTATCAGGAAGTGGTAATGATGTCTGGCTATAGATCTATCTATTTGAGATATAGGACCAATCCAAAAGGATTTCAGGACTTGTCAAGTTCCAGCCTTGAAAAAGACTTAATTTTGAATCTGCCTTTAAATAGGTTTAAAATTTTATAATATTGCCATTAATTTGGCAAACATTATTATTTTTTTTATGAATTTCTTATTCTCTAATAATGTGTGATGAGACCATGTAGAAGAAGATACGTCTGTTAATAATATTGATAAAACTGACCCCTGTTCCACAAGGTGATCTTAGCGTTACAATATCCTCAAGCATATGTTAAAGTTAGCATTTAGAATCCCTTTGTGGAATGGGACCCTGGCTTGTGATTATGGGAATAGTGTAAATGGATGTGTATTCTGACAATGAAATAAGGTAACAATGTCTTTATGAAATGTGTTTGAAATTCTCCATGGGGTCTTATGTTTAGCCTTGAAATGTGTGATCATTGCCTTGAGTGAGTGAGTATGGTTTTACATCGCTTTTAGCAATATTCTATTCAAGCAATATCACAGCTGGGGACACCAGTAATTGGCTTCACACATTGTACCCATGTCTGGAATCGAACCCGGGTCTTCGGCATGACGAGCGAACGCTTTAACCACAAGGCTACCTGACCGCTCCTCATTGCCTTGAAAAAGCCTTAGATTTTGTTGTTAAGGTAAGAGCCATGACCCAACAAAGGTGATTATATGTGTACTCCCTGCATCTCATGTTTCCAGATGCTGGTACAACACCTCCCTCCATGCTCACAGCCCTGGCTGGTCAGCCATCTTGATTCAGTCACAGGAAGTGGAGAGGATGCTGGGAAGGTTTCATGTCAAACAGCAGTCATTTCTTTTACCAGGTGAGTGCACCGTGATGGATCCAATCAAACCATTGTTGAATCAAACTGTTCCAACATATGACTATATTTTTTAGTTTACTGGCATGACATTGTGTGGGAGATTTGTTTTGTGGGAGAAAATAATGCTCGTTGGGGCGAAAGTGTAAATAAATAAATTTCACTTTGGTTCAATGACATCTGTTAAGTTACTCTGAGCCAGGTTTACTGCTCTGTACAAGATAGTTTCCGGATTTCACTGTATATGCAGGGGTTTATCTAGACCTGATCAGAGGCTGATATTCATCCCGAAGTCTGCAGCAAATGGCAGTTAAAATTCCCAAATTGGAATTGCAAATTGTTCAATTCATTCATATAGTAATACTTTATGTTATGGCTTTGTAGAAGCTGCTTCCAACCAATTTGAGCAACATATCAGGGGAAAACTCCAAAATGCCTGCCAAGGGAAATCAGTTTGGAATCAGGGATGTAATCCCATGCCTGATATGTTTTGCAGCTTGCCTTACGTCATATTTCAGATTAATTTTATTTTGCATGATATCATACCTTTTTATTACCATTGTTTCTTGATATGAAACATTTGGCTTATTTCTCATGAACAACATTCCATTCCCAATAACCGGCCTACCAAATAAATCCAGCTGAGAGCAACCAAACTTAGGACATGTACCTTTAAATAGAATTACACCATGGCTCCTTTGTCTTTGACCATGGTCTAACTAACTGAATTGTTAGTTAAACACCTCTTGGCAATGACGGAACTTCTTTTTTCCCCTATCATTTGTCTTGATGATAGAACAAGTTCATGAAAAACGTTTGTCGCCAGCGGGATTCAGCACTGAATACTAACGAATGTAGTCTTCTGCCACGGCGACATGGGAAGATAGAGTATGAAATTAACAACTAAACATTTACTTACATCAGTACCAATTGCTTATCCCTTTATGAACTGCGAAATATGTTTTATGCATATTTTATACAATATGTTACTATATGCATTCTAATATTTGTACAGTACTTGTGATTTTGTAGCTTTTCGTTCAACAAAAGAAACAGATAGAAAAGACATTACTATTATCTCGATCAGGGCTATATTTGCTTATACATGTAATAGGCCCATCAACATGGGCAAGTAACAATGTTTTTTAAGCATTTTAGGTGCCATAAATGTTGGACATGGTTTAAGTATGTTAGACCACTCAGGCCCCAGTGTCTTAATTGTTGAAATGGGTGATTAAACCACTGGGCGCTGCGCGCCTCATGGTTTAATTAACCATTTCAACGATTAGACACTGGGTCCTCGTGGTCTAACCTATACATAGCCAACCAAATTACAAACAAGACACCTAAGGTGTGCATCGTTATGATCAAAGCCCACCATATTTTCAATGGAAACCGCAACAAACCGAATATGTGCGTGCTCAGTTTGTTGTGGTCTGCATGATTTACTGTGCACGGTTCCACTGAAAATGTGTTTGGCTGTAATCATTATGATGCAAACTTAAGGAGGAATTTGTGTGGCTGTTTCTGTTTAAAGTGTGTACTTGTTCCATAGTTTGATTGGACCCGTGAATATCCGGGTTAGAATAGGTCTTCAGCAACCCATGCTTGTTGTAAAAGGCGACTATGCTTATTGTAAGAAGCGACTGACGGGATGGGGTGGTCAGGCTTGCTAACTTGATGCATGGTTGATGCATGTCATCGTATCCCAGTTGCGTAGATCGATGCTCATGATATCAATCACTGGATTATCAGGTCCAGACTTTATTTTCAGACCGCCATCATTTAACGATAATAATGCTAAGTGCGGCATTAAACAACAAACAAACAAAACAGTTTGGTTGCTCTCTGCTTGTTTCCACTGGTAGGCCTGAATAACTCTAGTATAAGGGTAACGACGAAGGAGGGCAGTTGAAAAGACCAAGGGGTTCTGCAAATGATAATGCCCTGAAAAATAGCGTTACCGTTATTATAGCTAAAAATGGATGGAATTTGTTATCAGAAAAAAAGAAACAACAATATGAGTGGAAAGATTTACTGCAATCAACAGGAATGTCACTGACCCACTTTTACAAATATTGAAACGTCCCAGAACAAACCAGATGACGTTACTATTGAATGTGATGTCACCTATCCCTTTCTTATGATGTCACCTAACGACGTGTGTGATAATGGCCCGTAATCAAGCAATATGAGGGCATTATCAAGTTACAGTGGCCCGCTCATTTCTGATAACATGCGGGTGGTTTAATGATAATTCTGTCCATTTTAGCTATACTCTATGTTATTGTACAGTCAGTACCTGGGGTTGGTGTGTTTCAGGTTGGTGGGTCAGCTGCCAGCCTACCTGTGGGTGGTGAACACTCTCACAGACACACCCACCTCCCAACATGTCGCAGCATTCGTCAACACCCTGGAGCAAAGCCTGGTATGGCTAGTACACCGGATATGTCAATGAAATTGGAAGAAATGCATGTAATACGTTCAGGGATGAAAGAAGTTATGATAAACTCGATACATGTGTACACTACGCAGGAAGTGTGAGGGCTGGGTAGAGGGAGATGTAAGGTAGTGTTGACTTGCCTCAAACAGTAGACATTCAAGAGGCCATTGACCTTGGTTTGAGATAAAAAATAATCTTGAGTGTTTATCGGATATAATTTGTAAGCAGTACGTAGCTCTGCCTGATGGAGACATGCCTGGAGACAGCAGTAATACCAGGATCAACCAGTGGCAGCAAAAGCTGTAATAGCTTAGACAGAAAACTTTTGTATTGATTGAAATTTGCATGTATTATACTTGTGCCTAAAGCTGCGATTCCAAACTTGGCTCTTAACAATATTTTCAGTTGACTTTAATGTTATTTTGTGGGCTATAATTACTTGAACAGAATTTTACAAGACTTGGGCTTTAAAGTAGTGGCTAAGACAGAAATGATCAGTTCTCTGACATAGTTCAATTAAATAAGTCCATACCTCATTTCTAATAACATTATGAAACATATAACTAGATTTGGATAGAAAACCACCTGTCTTAGAATTTTCACAAGTATCAAACTGTAAGACAAGTTTTTGTATGACGTTGCACTCAGCAATAATATAACTATTAACAAAAATGACACAACAGTTCAGAAATTATGTGTGGGTGATCGACTCTTGCTTTTTGCCACAGTGTTACTGGCATATGACAGTGACCTGTAAATAATCAAGACCGACAAACCAGTGGTTGATGGCATGAACAGTACCGTTTGTCCCCAAACACACGATCAGCCAACTCACACTTTGTAACATGATGGTGTGCTGCAATCTGTTTCGTTGAAAAACATTATTCAAATGGGATTAGATCCCGGAAATGTTCAGAATTCACTGGGTGTGACATATTTTTTTCTCAATCTCTAATTTGAAAAATGTGCCATTCAGCTTGGTGAAACGGATACCGCGTTAATCAAATATTAATTTTGATTTATTTGATGCTTTTTGTAATTTGCTGACCAAGCGAGTTCAGTTATCACTGCGGCATGAGACAGTGCTTTCAGAAAATGATTCATAACTTTTGTATTTAACAATATCAATACACAGATTTTTTCAGATTTGTGGATGACACTGAGTACTGCATGGTTCCAAACAAAATTTTGAAACACATATTTTTATCCTAATTGTGGCACCGAATGGGTATTTAGCCTGCTCCTTGGAACGCTGCTAATATAAGCAGTCACACATAGATTTTGAGATCCGTCCTCAACAGTCTTGAATTTTTAAAAGAGTTGATATTTGGCCTTGACCTTTCTTGACCAATCCACATCTCAAGTATCTTACCTTATCATGACCCCATGAGGATTCTGGGTTAGAATTGGTCCCTAGCAAAGGATGCTTGTTGAAAGAGGCAGCAAAATGGATCAGGTGGTCAGACCTTTGGTTTGGTTGAATGCATGTCATCGTTCCCGGACAGCATTGGGCATTGCTCATAATATCAATCACTGGATTGTCTGGTTCAGATGGAAGTGTTTACAGGTTGCTGTAACATTGCTTGAAGAGTGGGGCATAAACAATAAACAGATAAACAAATGTATCAAGCCAGCTGTAAGTGTTTATGTCCGGTCTCTGTTAACATATCGGCTACATGGAACTCTGTGATTATTCTACTTCATAACCATAGGGTTAGAAATAACCCAGTTCCTGAAAATCCTTTGTGCGCTCGTCCGAATATCACTCCTGTTTTGTTTCCGTCATCCGGACGATGTCATTCAAATCTTATTGTGACGTAAGGTCAAAGCTGAAGATTGTTGACGTTATTTGACAAATTGTAGTTTTCCATGAAAGCGGTGGTGATCAGTGCATTTTTCTAAAGGGGAGCTCAAAAGGATTAAGAAAGTAAGAAAGCAATTATCACACTCGCATGTGTGTCATACTGATTTAACGAAACTTGTGTAAGAAATCATGTATTACCCTCGCTCTCGCTCAGGAACTACAAGAATTCTGACACACGTTTCGTAAAATTAGTATAACACACAAGCTGTATAATACTGTAAATCTTGAAATTAACGCGAGCGTGAATTAAATGCGAAAAATGCGAATGGTCTTGGCTCGCATTATTAAACATCGCATTTATATCAACAATAAGACATTTTGTTTAGCAGAAATACCAACTTAGACATACGCTAAAAACAAACAACTATGTTTTCCAAATCACTTTATTGAGCAGCACTTGTAACAAGTACATAAACAATCTCATTCAAACACTAAATACATCCTGTGAATTGTCACTGCTGGGGTCATGACAAAGAGTTCTACTCACTTATGTCATCACTGATCACACCTGCAAGTCCAGACAGACGCCACCCACGCAACACAGTGTCTTTGTTCTTTGCGACTGCGTCAAAGGCCGACACGAGCCAGCGCGCATGCATTGTTTTAGCGGAAGTACACTACTCAGCGCTAATAAGCAGTTCTATTTGGTGTGTGATTGGATTAATGTAAGGTTGGATTAAGGTGACGTTCTCCGGTAAACCTGACAGAGGACATTTTCTTTAGATAACATATCCACTGATGCTTTAGAGGAAGAAGTGTCTCATTCATATTGAGTCGCATTTTTGGCAAGGGGCCAGCGTTCGCATTCTTTTGGAGATGCATTAATTTCACGATTTACAGTAATCTCTGTATTTTCCCTTCAGGCCCTGTATGTTAGTGAGAGCAGTTACCTCCCCTGCCCGCTTACACTTCACATCACACAAGTAAGTATAGTTGTTGTTCCTATAACTATGTGTACACTATTGCATTATGGAGTTGTCACATGACTGTGTGGATTGTTGGACACTGTTTGTTGTAGGCCCTGTACAATGATAGGTTCTTCAGACTGTAGAATAGTACATCTGTGGGATGTCATGATATCCTTACTTCGCCTATTCATACATACATGTATTGCGATATTTGTGTCCTGTACAATATGTATCATGATACTCAGTGTAGTCAGAATGTATAGGGCCCTTCGATGCCCATATGATCAGAATGTGTGGATGCCCAAGTAATAATGATTCAGCCCTCAGACATCCTGTTATACAGGAATGAACTATTGGATGCCTGTTGAATAGTCATTGGACCTGTGGAGGCCCTGTTAAGAATTATTGGTCCCTTGGGCACCCATGTAATAAAAATGATTGGGCCCTTGGACACCTATGTAATAAGAATGTTTTGGCCCTTGGACACCTATATAATTTAGAATGATTGGGCCCTTGGACACCCATATAATAAAAATGATAAGGCCCTTGGACACTGTTGTAATAAAAATGATTGGGCCCTTGGACACCCATGTAATGAGAATGTTTGGGCCCTTGGACACATATGTAATAAGGATGATTGGGCCCTTGGACACCTATGTAATTTAGAATGTTTGGGCCCTTGGACACTGTTGTAATAAGAATGTTTTGGCCCGTTGGCACCTATGTAATAAGAATGTTTTGGCCCTTGCACACCTATGTAATTTAGAATGTTTGGGCCCTTGGACACCATTGTAATAAGAATGATTTGGCACTTGGACACCTATGTAATAAGAATGTTTGGTCCCTTGGACACCTATGTAATAAGAATGTTTGGGCCCTTGGACACCTATGTAATAAGAATGTTTAGGCCCTTGGACACCTATGTAATAAGAATGATTTGGCCCTTGTACACCTATGTAATAAAAACGATTGGGCCCTTGGACACCATTGTAATAAGAATGTTTGGGCCCTTGGACACCCATGTAATAAGAATGATTGGTCCCTTGGACACTATGTAATTTAGAATGTTTGGGCCCTTGGACACCGTTGTCAAAAGGATGTTTGGGCCCTTGGACACTGTTGTAATAAGAATGATTGGGCCCTTGGACACCGTTGTAATATGAATGATTGGGTCCTTGGACACCCATGTAATAAGAATGTTTGGGCCCTTGGACACCTATGTAATAAGAATGTTTAGGCCCTTGGACACCTATGTAATAAGAATGTTTGGTCCCTTGGACACCTATGTAATAAGAATGTTTGGTCCCTTGGACACCTATGTAATAAGAATGATTTGGCCCTTGGACACCTATGTAATAAAAACGATTGGGCCCTTGGATACCATTGTAATAAGAATGTTTGGGCCCTTGGACACCCATGTAATAAGAATGATTGGTCCCTTGGACACTATGTAATTTAGAATGTTTGGGCCCTTGGACACCGTTGTCAAAAGGATGTTTGGGCCCTTGGACACTGTTGTAATAAGAATGATTGGGCCCTTGGACACCGTTGTAATACGAATGATTGGGTCCTTGGACACCCATGTAATAAGAATGATTGGGCTCTTGGACACCCATGTATAAAGAATGATAGGGCTCTTTAATACCCATGTAATAAGAATGAATGGGCCTATGGACACCCATGTAATAAGATGGGCCCTTGTACACCTGTGTATAGTGTCCCCTGTTGCTGGAGTACAGGCAGTGAGGGCAACTTGGTGCAGTGCTGGTGTCTCAGATCAGTGCAGACATCTCCCACTTGATGTGTGCAGATATCCGCATTGCTTCATGTTCAACAGAAGGAGCCACTAAATATAGGCCCTGACACACCGTGTTGACAATCTGCACCATGAACAGCACAACACTTCACCTTATCTCAGTGTGCGGTCACTACAGCATCCGGTATTGCTCACATTGATATTCGTATTAGGTCTCCATGGAACTGCAATTGTAAAATTGGAATAACCCTACTGACAGGTCAACTGGTGAAGCAGTGAGTGAGTGAGTGAGTGGGTGGGTGGGTGGAAGGGTGGGTGGGTGGGTGGATGAGTGAGTGAGTGTTTTATGCCACTTTTAACAATATTCTTGCAATATCTCGGCAGGGGACGCCAGAAATGGGCTTCACATGACACCAGTGTGGCAGAACAAGCTTCCATGCAAAGCTTCAAAGAACCACACTAATGCTTCTTCTGCAAATTATTTCTGCCCAATAGGCAATTTAACCAAAAATTATTATTTTTGTATTTGGTGCAAACATATCTTGCTTCGGCAATAACTGTAGCGACCCAGTTATTCACCATATTGTGGTTCCATATCTTGAAATCATTTGATGATTGATAACATGTGCAAGCTACAAATCTAAGATTGAGACATTCATACAATGATTGGGCACAGTACTATTCTAGAACACAAGACGCCTGCATCAGTAGCATGTTGTATGATGGGTTCTGTGTTTCCAGTGTGTCCTCACCCTGAAGTCCTGTGGTGCTGAAGACGGACTTCTCCACAACCTCATTCTACATCCTCTACTTGCCATCTCAATACTGGTAGTTATCTTGTGATATACCCACTCACTCACTCACTCATACCATCACTCAATTACAGATTCATATACTCACTCACTCAATAACCCACTTACTCACATGCACACATTCTCACTCGTACACTCACTCACTCACAGATCCACTCACTCACTCACTCACTCACAGATCCATAAACACACTCACTCACTCACTCACCCACTCACTCAATCAGAGATCCACAAACTCACTCACTCACTCACTCAAAAATCACTCATACACTTAAGATCCAACCCACTCACTCAATCACAGACCTGATACCCCCTCACACACTCACCTCCAACCCACTGACTCCATCAATCCCCTCAGCCATGAACCCACTCACTCACCAGCCCCCTCCTCCCTCTGCCCTCCAGGTCCACTGGACAACCATCAAGTCTGTGCTTCATGCGAGCGGAGTGAAGGGAGACAACTTCCTCTTTGCTACCTACTTCAACACCATGGCCTGGGCAGAAAAGTGAGTACCATAACGTAATAATCACATCTGAGGTGAAGATCTCTCAAAGCCCTTATGCCACATCTGAGTTGAGAATGCAGAATGTTGACATTCTTCTGTGGTATTTCTCAGATGTGGAGGAAGGACGCATGGGTCAGGTCCTACAGTTCATCACCGACCAGTATTTTATGTAACATGACTGAATTTGGGCAAAAATGTTCTTCCTGGGATGTTTATTCCCACACTGAACTGTTATGTGACATAACTAAAAAACGCAATCTCATTTAAATCAGATCTTAGACTACCGCTAAACAAAGATCTGAGGACATCCCATTATTGGTCACGTCAGAACGACCTTTCGCAAACTTTGACCGACCAATGAAATGACTGACAAGAAATCGACATTAGCCAATCATAAGGCAGCTTTCTCGAGCTTTATGACTCTAGTTTCAAACTGGCGACTACGCTTCGAAACATATTTTGACATATTCTCGATTAAAAAATTTAAAACTGGTAAAAAGAACATTCTTGAATGGCTAAAAGATAGCCTAGATTGTATGGGTATAATTATAAAACCTGTAACTATCGTTCGGAATACCCTCAGTTAAATATTTCAAGGCTGCATGATTAGTAAACACATTCCGACTGTCACTTTCGTGATCTGGTAAGCGACGCTCTGATTGGCTGGATGAAAGGTCATTCTGACGTGACCCGTAATAGGATGTCCTCAGATCTATGTTAAGCGATAGCGAGAACTAAGATCTGATTTTAATGAGATTGCTAAAAAACTGTTCAAAACATTATTAAGCTCACGCTTATCTCACTCTCTTCTCCTAACAATGTATCACCAGTGGTCATGTCAATCCCTGCATCTGAATCTTCCCTTCTGAACTCAAAAGAAGCACGGTGGCCAAGTGGTCTTTAGGTGCCACAACCTGCTATGCAGAGTTACATCCCTTTGCCAGGTCAGCCACCTACTGTCATGTGTTTGAATCCCAGATTCACCCTGATTATGATTCTTGGTTTGTTGGTGTCACACCTTTTCTTGTGGTAGTAGATGTCGGAGACCTGCATCACATCCTACTACATTAAGCTGACATGCCCAGAAATACCTGACACACTACCAGCATAAAACCTAACTTACTTACCCTCTGTAGAACCAATACAAGCTGAAATTATGGGATAAGCAGATGAAATTAAGTACACAATTTGTTATTCCAAGTTTTTCATGTAACTGACATTGTTTGGATTTTGTTTTGTAGGCTAAATATAATTCTGCTTAAATATACAGGGATTTTCACAAGGAATATCTGTCGAAGCAGGTAGTTAGTAACAGCTTCCTTGTTATTAAATTTCTTATCAATCTCTGTCAGTAAGGTTTGCCTCCTTCATTTTGGCACATTGGCTGTGAATAAATCATCTATGAAAAGGGGAAATATGATTTGAAGCCTAAGCTTGATAATTATTCTTTCTACAGGTATATGGTTTATAATTTTTTTATTAATTTTTTTCCGTTAAATTAATTTTTTGCATGTTCATCCATAAAGCAAGAAAATAAGGTTTCATCTTAATAATAAAATGTGAATAAATCACTGATAATCATGACTCATGAGTTGTTTCTTAAGACTTGGATCTTAAATCGTTATAAAACATTAATAGCTCATAGTCCAGTGTAATTTCAGTGTGTTAAATACTTCTGTCTGTGACATTCCTCTAGGGTGGTTGGGTAGCCTAGTGGTTAAAGCGTTTGCTCGTCACGCCGAAGACCCGAGTTCGATTCCCGACATGGGTACAAAGCCCATTTCTGGTGTCCCCCGCCGTGATATTGCTGGAATATTGCTAAAAGCAGCGTAAAACCATACTCACTCACTGACATTCCTCTAACATCTACATACTGCTATTAGGTGTGACTGAACTGTACAAGAACAGCGAGTTAGTGAAAGATCAACCAGTTCCTGCATCCCCCATCTTTTGAAGTGTGTGTACTTGTGTTTACCAACTTGTGTTTACTGCTTCTAATTAAGCTAATCCATGAGAAATTGTAAGATGTGTGTATGTTTTCACCCTGGACTTTTTAAAGTGGTCCGACACTTGCTGCGCTTTGAAAGGAGAGAAACGGAAAATTGAATTAGCCATTTCCACTTAAAGATTTTCAAGAAGTTTGTGATAGTGTACACCAAGTACCTTTATTTATTGCTTCAAGTGACCGGAGTTTGTTATCACCGAATAAACTCAGATGAACATGTTTGGTAGAATTTGTACAACCTCATCAGTATTTTAATACGTTTTGATGTTTGGAAGTGTTTTCAAGAGGAAAAGTTCACATAGATTGAATCAAATGTCAGCTGAGTGTGCAATGGCTGTGTCATCTGGGTGTTTTCAATGTCATTTGACATAGACTGTATAATATGTATTCCATGTTCCTCTTCTCCAGCCTTTGGAGAACACAATGACGGCACTTTCCAGGTCTTGTTTTTCTGATTTTGTGAGACAAAATATTTTAGGGGTGAAACAATGTGATCAGAACTTATTAGAGGTCTTTTCCAAACAAAAGTTAATTGGCAGCAATTCAGTGTGTTATTATGAAAGTAGCCATTAATTAGAAGCTTTTGTTTCCTTTGAAGAAGGTTGTTGAGAATGAATGCTCATGGAACAATGCTAGGAAGTGTTTTTTTACAAAAGTTTACTTTCAATTATACTGGGATTTGGTTTTGTTTTTATGGGCAGCATTTAATAAATATGTGGCCATAACTTGGTTTGTGGATCTTAAGAGCCTGTGTTTCAGGGACCGCCTCCGTGGTCCAGTGGTAGAGCCTCTGCCCGGAGAGCGGAAGGCTCGAGGTTCGATCCACAGCCGCGTCATACCAAAAGACGTTGAAAGATGGTACTTGTTGTTACCCTGTCTGGCTCCTGGCATTAAGGGGCTAAAACAAGGACTGGTCGGCACGGAGTCAGTATACTGTGTCCGAGTGGGGTATTCATGTTAAATTGCGGCATGATATCTCAGTGGGCTAACACTATAAATTGGCAACAGTCCGGACTAGAAAAATCACCCACACACACACGTGCATGCACGTCGCTATATAAGTGCAATAATCTTGGATGCGATGTTAAACCCCATTCCACCTCACCTCTCCTGTGTTTCAGGGTCAAGTTAAAAAATAAGAGTGCATGAGTGAGATAGGGTTTGGGCTGTTTTTAGCAATATTCCAGCAATATCACAGCGGGGGACACCAGAAATGGGTTTCACACATAGTACTCTTGTGGGGAATCGAACCCAAGCCTTCGGCCAGACAAGCTTACATCATTATCATCTTAGCTAACCCACTGCTCATTACAAACAAGTAGAAGAAATAAACATTACTCAAATAATTGACCTCCAAATTTAAATCTGGTATCAAAAGCCCGAATTTACTTTCAGATGTATTGAGGCGCAGACCTTCTGCCCCTGTGTCCCTCCACCCTGGCTGTGTGGGGCTGCTCTCTTCTCACTGGGGCTGCGTCATCATGGTAACATGCACGCTGTGACTGGTCTGCTGTCCCAGTCCTGTGTGGACCAAGAGGTGAGAGTGTGGCTGTGTTGTTGATGTGGAGGCTGTGTTGTTGCTGTGGTGGCTGTGTTGTTGATGTGGAAGCTGTGTTGTTGATGTGGAGGCTGTGTTGTTGATGTGGAAGCTGTGTTGTTGCTGTGGTGGCTGTGTTGTTGATGTGGAAGCTGTGTTGTTGATGTGGAGGCTGTGTTGTTGATGTGTTGTTGCTGTGTTGTTGATGTGGTGGCTGTGTTGTTGATGTGGAGGCTGTGTTGTTGATGTGGTGGCTTTGTTGTTGATGTGGTGGCTGTGTTGTTGATGTGGAGGCTGTGTTGTTGATGTGTTGTTGCTGTGTTGTTGATGTGGTGGCTGTGTTGTTGATGTGGAGGCTGTGTTGTTGATGTGGTGGCTTTGTTGTTGATGTGGAGACTATGTTGTTGATGTGGTGGCTGTGTTGTTGATGTGGAGGCTGTGTTGTTGCTGTGGTGGCTGTGTTGTTGATGTGGAAGCTGTGTTGTTGAATATGGAGGCTGTGTTGTTGATGTGGAGACTATGTTGTTGAATATGGAGGCTGTGTTGTTGATGTGGTGGCTTTGTTGTTGATGTGGAGGCTGTGTTGTTGATGTGTTGTTGCTGTGTTGTTGATGTGGTGGCTGTGTTGTTGATGTGGAGGCTGTGTTGTTGATGTGCTGGCTGTGTTGTTGAATATGGAGGCTGTGTTGTTGCTGTGGTGACTGTGTTGTTGCTGTGGTGGCTGTGTTGTTGATGTGGTGGCTGTGTTGTTGAATATGGAGGCTGTGTTGTTGATGTGGTGGCTGTGTTGTTGATGTGCTGGCTGTGTTGTTGATGTGTTGGCTGTGTTGTTGATGTGCTGGCTGTGTTGTTGATTATGGAGGCTGTGTTGTTGATGTGGATGCTGTGTTGTTGCTGTGGTGACTGTGTTGTTGCTGTGGTGGCTGTGTTGTTGATGTGGTGGCTGTGTTGTTGAATATGGAGGCTGTGTTGTTGATGTGTTGGCTGTGTTGTTGATGTGCTGGCTGTGTTGTTGAATATGGAGGCTGTGTTGTTGATGTGGAGGCTGTGTTGTTGATGTGGAGGCTGTGTTGTTGAATATGGAGGCTGTGTTGTTGATGTGCTGGCTGTGTTGTTGAATATGGAGGCTGTGTTGTTGATGTGCTGGCTGTATTGTTGAATATGGAGGCTGTGTTGTTGATGTGGTGGCTTTGTTGTTGATGTGGAGGCTGTGTTGTTGAATATGGAGGCTGTGTTGTTGCTGTGGTGGCTGTGTTGTTGATGTGGAGGCTGTATTGTTGAATATGGAGGCTGTGTTGTTGAATATGGAGGCTGTGTTGTTGAATATGGAGGCTGTGTTGTTGAATATGGAGGCTGTGTTGTTGCTGTGGTGGCTGTGTTGTTGATGTGGTGGCTGTGTTGTTGATGTGCTGGCTGTGTTGTTGATGTGGAGGCTGTATTGTTGATGTGGAGGCTGTGTTGTTGATGTGGTGGCTGTGTTGTTGATGTGGAGGCTGTGTTGTTGATGTGGATGCTGTGTTGTTGATGTGGAGACTGCTCGCTCTCCAGGCTACCCCACCCCTCACATTCAGCTGACAGGTGATGCTTTAACCACCAGACTATCCCTCCCTCTCCCCTCCCCTCCCCTCTCCTCCCCTCCCCTCTCCTCCCTACCCTTGATGACAGTAAATTTCAGGCAAAATCAAAATGATTCACTCAGGACATAAACCTGATATGAAATTGAAGCTCGTGTAATTTCCTGTAACAGCAGCACAGCGGATTCCACTCTCTCACACAGATACAACTGTAATAATGCTCACAGCAGCACAGCAGACTCCACTCACTCACTCAGATACAACTGTAATAATGCTCACAGCAGCACAGTGAACTCCACTCACTATCTCACTCAGATACAACTGTAATAATGCTCACAGCAGCACAGTGAACTCCACTCACTCACTCAGATACAACTGTAACAATGCTCACAGCAGCACAGTGAACTCCACTCACTCACTCACTCACTCACTCAGATACAACTGTAATAATGCCCACAGCAGCACAGCGGACTCCACTCACTCACTCAGATACAACTGTAATAATGCTCACAGCGGCACAGCGGACTCTACTCACTCACTCACTCACTCAGATACAACTGTAATAATGCTCACAGCAGCACAGCGGACTCCACTCACTCACTCAGATACAACTTTAATAATGCTCACAGCAGCACAGTGAACTCCACTCACTCACTCAGATACAACTGTAATAATGCTCACAGCAGCACAGTGAACTCCACTCACACACTCACTCAGATACAACTGTAATAATGCCCACAGCAGCACAGCGGACTCCACTCACTCACTCAGATACAACTGTAATAATGCTCACAGCAGCACAGCGGAGTCCACTCACACACTCACTCAGATACAACTGTAATAATGCCCACAGCAGCACAGCGGACTCCACTCACTCACTCAGATACAACTGTAATAATGCTCACAGCAGCACAGCGGACTCCACTCACACACTCACTCAGATACAACTGTAATAATGCTCACAGCAGCACAGCGGACTCCACTCATTTACTCACTCAGATACAACTGTAATAATGCTCACAGCAGCACAGCGGACTCCACTCACACACTCACTCAGATACAACTGTAATAATGCTCACAGCAGCACAGCGGACTCCACTCATTCACTCACTCAGATACAACTGTAATAATGCTCACAGCAGCACAGCAGACTCCACTCATTCACTCACTAAGATACAACTGTAATAATGCTCACAGCAGCACAGTGAACTCCACTCACTCACTCACTCAGATACAACTGTAATAATGCTCACAGCAGCACAGTGAACTCCACTCACTCACTCACTCACTCACTCAGATACAACTGTTATAATGCCCACAGCAGCACAGCAGACTCCACTCACTCACTCAGATACAACTGTAATAATGCTCACAGCAGCACAGCGGACTCCACTCACTCACTCAGATACAACTGTAATAATGCTCACAGCAGCACAGCGGACTCCACTCACTCACTCACTCACTCAAACTCTCCTCTGCTACAAGAATTGAGACACTGTTTGGACATTGTATCTTTTTTTTGTCAATGTTGTATTTTTTTCTTGTATGTTTCAACAATACACAGACAGAAGATTTGTACATATATGCAAGCGATCTCAGACTCGGGGAAGGTTAATCGGGTTTAGTCTTTACATCACCAGCTTTATTTTTTTGCTCATCTTCTGCAGAGTTGAGGTGAAACAGTGCATGATCAAACAGCTCCATTCCTCCCTTGAATACATCAAGCAAAGCCAGTTTATGTTACTGCAGTGACAACTTACGACCTTTCAGAGTTTACTGAAGTAAACTGCTAATCAACATTGAACATCTACATTTCAAACGAACCTGCTCATTAACTCACAAGTTTTATTTTCAGGATGTATAAGCTTAATGAGATGTGATATATGTTAGCCACTAAGTTCTAGCATCTCTGCAGGAGCTACACCATCAGTAATCAAGTCCTGTTAAGATGATAGAAACATCGGTAGTGAAGACCATCTCTTTTTGTTATTTTCTATTTTTCACGTGTTACCAATGAAGCAAATACTACCTGAGTCTTCATATTAATAAAACATTAGGATTGAAGTTTGGAACATGTGGATTAAATTTGGTTTAATGGTAATAAAATGGTGTGTAAGAACTTAGTTTTGAGTGGACAATGTTAGAAAAATATTTCACAGATGTCCGAGGATCATGCATTTTTTTTTTTCAAGCAAAACTAGTTTTTTGTTTTATGGCTAAACCTGCCCTTAAGTTTTGTCATTGATTTAATTTTAATTCAGAATTTGTAAAATGTTGTTTATCCTTTCCATGGCCAATTTGTATTGAAATGTACCGATTTACGGGTTTCAAAATGCAGTTGGATTTTCGGGAGAAAAACCAATCAGGGATTAAACGTAATAAATATTATCCCTCGAAATGTAGGATTCTTTCCTTCTTCGGAGCGTCAGACATTTATGAACATATTGTCATTTAGTCATGTATAAGGATCAATATTTTCAAACATGTATATTTAAATGAGGCAGAACTGTGTCATTAGACCAGATAAAGTCGTATCATATGATTTGCAGCCTTCCAGTGTGTTGACTGAAATGTATGATGTGGGATGTCTATAATGGCACAAGAGGGAAATTGTTACAAAAAATACAAACCAGCAAAAAAAATAGTGCAAATTTGTTACGTTTAACCCGGGATAGGTGTCTCTGTGGTAAAAACTTACAAGTGTTTTGAAAACCAAATTTCCATTATATTTAAATACGATCTGGTTGTTTTGAAACTCATTATGTTAAAATATGATCTGGTTGTCCTCTCAAGAAAACATGCCGGCTGTGTTGAAGATATTGAATGAATGCTTAATTAAACTCCATTATTTAAATTATTGTTTTGATGTAAAGGTTTTGACCAGAAAGATCAAAAATCAAAAACTAAACTCAATGTGGCCTTATGTAGATATTGAAAAATACAACATATTTCCTGTAGGTGTGTATTTCCTTTGATGTAGGTCTGGGGGGAGATGGGTGTGTTGTGCGGAGCGGACTTGCCCTAGCTCCCATGTGGTACTGGTTACTGCAAGATGGAACTGTTCCCCTAATTATCACAAACATTTTCTACAAACTGGCAAACATTATTCAATTTATTTTGTAAACAAATGTAACTTTGAATATGTTGGTTTTAAAGTGTATCAAGCACGGTGGGAGAAAGATGGCTGATTGTCACCACATGTTGTTGGTGATGGATCCTGTAAAGTGGATATTCTGGCATTTTTACATGAAACAATTCTTGGATGCCTTCTGTAAAGATTTATCTTTCTGAGTAAACATTCAGAATTTGAAAGTTTTCACTAAATTTTAAATGTTTTGAATAAATGAAACCCATCCCAAATAAATCAACCTTTTTCATCAAAGCATTTATATATTAAAGTTGGTTCCAAAATTTCAAATGATATCCAATTTATAATGCTGACAGCAATACTTCAATGTTGAACAATTGAAATGCTTGTTTGATAGGCATTACTTAGAAGTTGACGGATGACAAGATAGACACAATATTTTTATGGATAACAACTTCTTTAATACTGTGAAAAGCGACGTTTCGGTATAGATCCTTATACCGTTGTCAAGCAAGACTGAATGACAACGGTATAAGGATCTATACCGAAACGTCGCTTTTCACAGTATTAAAGAAGTTGTAATCCATAAAAATATTGTATCTCAATTGAAATGCTGAAGTAAATTTACATACTGATATCTATAAATTAATTTTATTAGACTTTTCCCAAAAGTTCAAGATCCCCTCCACCGCATTCTTTTTCCAGAAATCCAGGAACTGTCCTTGAAAGATCCAAATGACTTTTTATCTAAATTGAAACAGTAATTCACTCATTAAATAATGTGGATGACTCACCTTGGTGTTTAATGTTATCATGAGAAATATAGGGCTTAACAAGGTTAGATTGATTAAAAGGAATATATGTGAACACACTACTTTAACCGAGACACCAGACGCAGGATACAACCATCCCTGTCACACAGACGTCACTGCGAGGAAAATGATGTTTTTTAGAAATCCGTGTGATTGAGAAAAAGCGACGTGAATTGTGCTGTGTGTAGAACATCATGTAGCTGATGAAGTGGCACTGCTCCCTTTGTGAGGGGGGGGACGACGTCCTGCTGGGATGGAGAGATGGAGAGGGGGGGTGACGTCCTGCTGGGATGGAGAGATGGAGAGGGGGGGCAGCTAATGAGGGTGTACAGGAAGACAGCTGGTCAGGAAGGACAAGGCATCAGGGCTTGTGCTTACTAACCTCAACAGGATCTTGCATCATAGCATCAACTCACCATAATACGGTCTAGGACAATAAATTCATACATAGAAATGTCTACATTACTATTTTAATGGAATCATTTTAATATGTTAAATTTGGCACCAAAGACATCATAGTTTGCACCAACTTCTCATAAAGTTGTGAAATTTGTCAAAAAACAAGTCATTTTGACTCGATTTTGACATAGCTAGTATTGCTAAATCATTATAAGCATTGTTTGCCATTGACCGTCGTTACTAAGTAAAGATTTCTAAATCACGTTATTGACGATCTCATCTAAGAAATTTAATACATACATTGCACGGGAGCATGACAAGGGATTTTAAAACTAGTCTCAGAAACTGGTTTCACTTCACAAAGCTTTCCGATGCAGTTTTTAGTTGTACTGAACATCCCATGCTAATGGTGATTGCTAAATATATTTTTAATTTGTTATTTAAGAGCCTAATTAATCCCAAATATTCCTAATTGCCACAATTTAGGGTTGGCATCTCTGCTACATTAACACTGGTAGAAGGGATGCTGTTGTTTTCGATGTTAATGCCCCCAGGGAACCCTTGGAGCCGACTAATGAGGATCCGGTGGCTCCAATGTGGGGGGACCTGTGAAGGTCTTCAGCAGCCCATGCTTGCCGTAAAAGGCGACTATGCTTGTCGTAAAAGGTGACTAACGTGATCAGGTGGTCAGGCTCGCTGACTTGGTTGATGCATGTCATAGATCCCAATTGTGTGGATCGATGCTCATGATGTCAATCACTGGATTGTCTGGTCCTGACTCGATTATTTTACAAACCGCCGTCATATAGCTGAAATATTGCTGAGTGTGGCGTTAAAGAACACACAAAAACCAATGTGGGGGTAGGAATGTAGTATACCGGCCACCTTCTGCCAGGTAAGGCATGTTGGTCATGGCCAAGTGGTGTGGATCCACGGTGTTTGTACAGTGACGTGGTTCTCAAATAACAGGACATGTATGGAGTATCCCGTGCTTGTCATAAGGCCCGGGTAGAATAGGGATCAGGAAAAACAATGTGTGATTTGTGTTTATTTTGTCTTTTGTGAACATTGCTTGTGTTTTCATCCATTTCTGGTGCCCCCCACCATGATAGGGCTGGAATATTGCTAAAAGGGCGTAAAACAATGCTCGCTCGCTCGCTCGCTCGCTTACTCACTCACTCACTCACTCACTCACTCACTCACTCACTCACTCACACTTTTCTGACAAGGCTACTGTTGAAGTGGCATAAAACAACATTCACTCCCTTTTTTCAGAAAGCACACAGTACCATCTGCTTGTTGTTGGAAGTGGGGCTTTGGAGGGCCTCATGGACTGACAGCTTACAATGGACAGGAACACTGAACAGGCCATTTGTTGAGCTGTGCTTTCTTCTCCCCAGGTGCTGGCTGCCTACTGTGAATTGAGTCTGCTGTCCCTGGCTGCCGCATATACACACACTGAGCTGGAGAAACAGGTGCTCTGTCCATCCATCCATCCATCATCTATCTACCCAGTCACAAGTCCATCCATCTGTCCATCCATTCAACCATACATCTATTCGTCCATCCATCCATCCATCCGTCCATTTGTCCATCCGTCCATTTGTCCATCCATCCATCCATCCATCCACCCTTTAATTCATGTTTTTCGCTTTTATTGCGATGTGCATGCACATGTGTGTGTGGCTGCTTGTACTGGTCTGGACTGATGCTATCCCACTGACATACCATGCTGAGGTTTAACATGGACACACCACTCGAACATGGTATACTGACTCCAAGCCGACCAGTTCTTGTTTTAGCCCCTTAATAGGTAGTTTAATCCATATAATAAGCACCAATGGTTATTCATCAAGTCTGAGATCAAACTGAATTCTTACTGGGATGGATCCAGGCTAGAATAGGTTCCTGTGTGGACCTGGGTTAGAATAGGTCCCTGTGTGGACCCAGGCTAAAATATGTCCCTGTGTGGACCAAGGCTAGAATAGGTCCCTGTGTGGACCCAGGCTAGAATAGGTCCCTGTGTAGACCCAGGTTAGAATAGGTCCCTGTGTGGACCCAGGTTAGAATAGGTCCCTGTGTGGACCCAGGCTAGAATAGGTCCCTGTGTGGACCCAGGTTAGAATAGGTCCCTGTGTGGACTCAGGCTAGAATAGGTCCCTGTGTGGACCCAGGCTAGAATAGGTCCCTGTGTGGACCCAGGCTAGAATATGTGCCTGTGTGGACCCAGGTTAGAATAGGTCCCTGTGTGGACCCAGGTTAGAATAGGTCCCTGTGTGGACCCAGGCTATAATAGGACCCTGTGTGGACCCAGGCTAGAATATGTCCCTGTGTGGACCCAGATTAGAATAGGACCCTGTGTGGACCCAGATTAGAATAGGACCCTGTGTCGCTCTTAATTGGATGACATTGTAGTAATACACCATTTACAGAGTTCCATTCAGGCCGGTTTATAAATATTTTCTCATTTGTAATCCACCTATGGTGGTTCATTTAGGATGGGTTGCAGCTCCGTGTTGTAATAGGATAGAAGATATGCCTGGAGAACGGAAGTTTGGTGGTTTAATCCCCAGCCGCGCCATATCCAAAGACATTAAAAGATGGAGTCTATTGTTAGACTGGGGCTCGGTTTTAAGGGGGTAAATATGGAATGACTGGCTCCGAGTTTAATCTGTCTTTGTCAGGTAATGACCCTGTTAAACTGCAGCTTGGTATCTGAGTGGGCTTGCACTATATAGTCTGGACTAGTACAAACAGACAAGCATACACATTGCTATTGAAGTGAAATATTCTTTAACTCGACGTTATACCAATCCCAACACAACCACAACCACAGCCACAGCCACAGCCACAACCACAGCCACAGCCACAACCACAACCACAACCACAACCACAACCACACAGATTAGGGACAGTCAAATCTCCTGTAAGGATTTGTTATGAAAAATATAATCCTGCCAATGAATTGCTGGAACGAAATAATCTTGCTTCACGCATGCCTTAAAAATAAACTGTCCAGTAATGTCTTGATACATGATTTGGTTTTTTTCGGGAAAAAGATAACTATATCTTTTCATCCTGATAGGATAAAAAATTGCTTGTTTTTAAAGCATGACTAAAAAAATAATGTGGCAAAAAGAAATGCCAGCAGCGTGGTGTACGAAGCCAATTAGATCCTGAAGAGGTTTATAAGATTTGTAAAAATTGAGAGAAGATGTCCCTTGGGAGAAATATTAGCCCTTGTACCAAATATCTCCGATCTAAGGTGAGTGTTGGGTTTCGGGATATTAGCATTGTGTCGACAGGAGAAGTGTGAGGGGAGCAAATCCGCCACCAGTGAATCGTTTCCTACACAGACACTGGGGAAGGGGTTGTTACTGATCACAGGCAGACAAGACAGAAGGGCTAGTTCACAGGAGGAACTTGTTCTCTATTACACTGACAGCAGTATGAAGCTTGATGTATTCCTAATGTATCTGCCGTGATGTTTGTACTCAAGTAACACAAGGATTCCACGCCAATCTTGTTGAACCTGCACTGGTTCTATTCTATATTATTAGTTGGTGACTGATTCAAGACATATAATTGATTTCCCAGACAAGAAATCCAAACTATTTCTTCAGGACATTCAGGGGAAAACATTGTAAATACCAGAGGTAAAATTACTGGTTCACAATGTTATCAGAAACGAAATATTTCATTAATAATATCACAGCAACTGCTGAACCCAGAAGAATGAAATGGTCATTCAGATTCGGGGGCATTTAGAGAATGACATACGTTGGTACATGTTCTATGGACACAGTCCCTGAAGTGATCAGGTAATTAAAAGGTTTATAAGCATCCACTTCAGCAGAGTTAGTGACTGAACATGAGTACTGGGGTGACACCCCCTCCCCATTTATGTGAAAACATTTCATGGCACGCACACACACACACACGCACACACACACCCATGCACCACACCCCTATATAAGTTACCAGTTATAAGTAATGGTTGTTAAATTTTGCCGACCCCCCTCTATCCCTGTGTCATTGTTTTAAATAACAAATGACCAGCCCCCTACAGGTCACCGGTATTATGAAAAGAACATCAGAGATGACTTGAGTTCATTCCTTCAATGAGCATATTTTGAACCGTGCAATAAAGATCATGAGAATATTCAGACACCTCCGAAAACAATGAATGCTAGACTACCAGACATTTGACTGGAAGAACTCTGACACCCTTCCTGGTCACTACATCAAACATGGGTACAATGTCCCCTGTTGTGATGCCGAGATAGGACAACTATCTCTTGCGGAGACCAGGTCGGACAAACTACACTCATACCAGATCTATTGTCTGACCTTGATTTGTAAACCAAAGCACAGTTGTTTGTTCAATATATACTTGCTAAGGATCAGAAGAGTCATATTTTGTCAAAGATGTGTTTCTCAGTAAATGTTGATTGATGTATGTATGGCTGACCATATCTCTGACTCTACCCTCTTATCTACACAGTATTAATCAAAATAGCAAATGTATGTTCTTCCATAAACATAATACTTCAAAACACTTTTACAGAAAGTACATATTTGGTGAAAAAACGATTAGGATGGGTTTACCAGCTCAATCTATTCTTAGGAAAACACAATTTGAGTACTTCAGCTTTCCTATCACCAATATTCAAAGAGACAATCAAATCTAAATTCAACTCCCTCTTCAAGGAATCTCTTCAAGATGTAAATGCAACAAGAGGCACAGGAAACAAACTTAGGACATACAGGATAGTTAAAAATGAAATAAAATTAGAACCCTATCTCAGTCACTGTAAAGTAAATTATGTATGTCTGTATATGTATATATGAATCATAATGTCTTGTCTTTTAAAATTGTATCTGTCCCGTAATGGAACGTTTCTGCAATAAATATTATCTTATCTTATTATCTTATCTTATCTGATGCAAGTTTGTAATGTGGAATTGCAGTTATTTTAATGTTAGAGACTTGTCAGGCAAGGAAAGTTTATATCTGGTTTTACAATTAAGACTTGACTTTCACTTTGTGTGAGTTCATTGGAGTATGACCATTCATCGAGGTGAGGGCCTAACTGTATGAACATCGGACCTTCCAACAATGTTCATACAATAAATTTCTAGATTCCTGTGGACTGTCACTTGTCACTAAACATATGTATTGCGTCAGTAGTTTGGGTATGCATTTCTTTGATTTATTTAATAGGATGGGTCGTAGCGAGGATATTTTTGAACAGGTGTTCAGTCAAACTCTTGGATTTATACCAATGTATGCTAAAATGCTAAGTTCAAGGGTCTAAATGATTAGAAACAATGCTTCTGTATTTATTCGTGCTGGGGACTTCCCAGACCCGTTTTATTACAATAAAGGTCTTTATTATAGATCAGATTGTCTTAACTGGGTGCCGCCATTTTATTTGAAGCAGTTGCAAGTGATATGAGAGGTGGAATCTGAATGGTCAATATGAGGGACATAGAAGGGACATAACTCGGAATAGACACTTGTGGCGCAATGGTCGAGCCCAGAAATTACAGCCTACTTCGGCAAGGGTGGAAACTGGACTATCACAGTTAGTTAACACCTTTGCTGCGGTAAGATGTGGAAAAGCTGGAATTGATGTATCCTTCACATTGAAAACATTGCTGTTCGCCAATGTTTATAGTATAAACTTTAAACTCTATACCATGCTGTGTGTAACTGTACATGTGCAATGCTTGTGGTTTGATTGTGTTACTTCTGCCTGTCAGTACCTCACTGATGTCCGGATGTCACTGACAAGCATCATCGCCACACACCATCATGTCCTGGTTGCTCTTGCTGACAAGGATCTGCTGGAAACAAGAGTTGCCTCCCATAGTGCAAGGACATTCAGGAAGACTGCATTAGTACAGTAAGTTCAAAACATGTGTTCATTTTATGGAGACATATTGTCATTTTTACATATTTGTTTGCAATGAATTCATGATTTGTGTCAGGGATGAGCCCCACCTTGTGTCATGATTTTCATGGATGTAAATTCCTTGAGCATACCTGAAAGAATATATATGTATTGGAACACCTCAAATGGAGATTGGTAGGTAACAATGGACGGGCAAGTGACCTGTCCATAGATGGGTAGCCATCAAGAAAGACAAACTGTCACCTGTGGCCTGGCCAGGTATGTGAGAATTGTTGCTCACCCTATCGACCACTGGTTTGTCAGTCCATTCATTTACCCTGTGCAGGCAGGGTCATGTAACTGTATTACCACTGACTGCAGTTTAAAACTCCATTCCTTCACTAATATTTATGTTTTACAAATCCAACAAAGAGTTGTATGGGTGGCTTAGTTTGTTCCCTCTATATTTAGATGTGTGGCTGAGATGAAGCTTAGTGATGCGTGTCACACGTTTGGGGCGTCTCCCTCAACTCTGACCAGTGTGATGCACACCTACAGCCAGGTGTGTCGGCAATTTGAGGACACTGTCAGGAATCAGGTAACGTGACAGGCGCCTGGATGAGGACTGATGGAAAAGTTACAGCATTAGGGACCAACCATTTGATGATAGCATCTTCCCTAGGCAAGGGAGTTAACTCACCATCAATTAACTGCCATCAATTGCAGGATTTGCAAAGCATGTGTACCGTCAACTTACTGTCAACTGACATTTTCCAAACCATTTCATGTTTTATATCAAGGTGCTCACGTGATTTGAAGCACTTAGCAAAGTTTATTACAATATAGATCTTGATTATCGATCAGATCGTCTTCACTGGGTGCCGCCATTTTGTTTGAAGCAGATGTAAGTGATATCTGAGGTGGCATCTGATTGGTCAATAGAAGGGACATACATGTAACTTGTAATAGCCACTGGTGGCACTAAGATCGAGCCCAGAATTTCCAGCTTAGTTCGTCAAGGGTGGAAACTGGACTTTTACAGTCAGTTAACTCCCTTGCCTCAAGAAGATGGATGATAGGGGATGGGATTATTCTGCACTGAGACAAAGCAAACTAACATAAATGGTCATGTAGAAAGTGGCCCAAGTAGTACTGGGTACTCAAATGTGATTATGAATCATCATGAGGATAAAGGACTAAATCGCTTTCTTCTGCCAAGATTAGGCAAGCAGGGGTTAAAATCTCAAACCTTACATTGGCCGTCATATGAGTAACTGTATTGTATTAGTTCATCACATTATTTTCCTCACATTGTCTCAAATATAAGTGACCACCTCTGTTGTCTGGTGGTTACCCTGCCCGGCACTCGGCATTCAGGGGACTGGTCAGCTCGGAGTCTGTATACTGTGTGTGAGTGGGGTATTCATGTTAAACTGCGGGATGGTATATCAGTGGGCTAGCACTATAAAATCGGCATCAGTCCAGACGAGTACAAGCAGCCACACACACGCACATGCATGCATGTTGCTATATATTTGCAATAATCTTTGACACGACATAAAACCCCATTTCAATTCACGTCACACAAATATAAGTAATAATTATGATGGTGAGTATTATCATCATAAAGTACAAGCAGCCACACACACGCACATGCATGCATGTTGCTATATATTTGCAATAATCTTTGACACGACATAAAACCCCATTTCAATTCACGTCACACAAATATAAGTAATAATTATGATGGTGAGTATTATCATCATCACTCTTGTTAATTTGCCCTTTGGTTTCTCCTGTTATTAATGTAGTGTGAAGTGTTGGCTGTGTTTTTATTTCAGAGCATTTCTCTGCTCCAGTTGTCAAAGTGTGCACAGTTTCTGAAGAATGTGCTCAACAGCGTCAGTCTGGAGAGTCTACAGTCAGTTGATCAGGTAGTTAGATTGACTTTGTAACAACAGGTGCCATCAAACAGGAACTGTGATCAGTGTTTGTTAGGGCTAACATGGGAAAGGGTCGACTGTAGTTGTATCCAGTGACAAGATAAGTTTTGTTTGTTACTTAACACTGCAATCAGCAATGTTCCAGCACCATGATGAGGTCTGTAAATAATCAAGTCTGGACCAGACAATCTAGTGATTGATATCATGAGCATCGATCCACGCAACTGGGATACAATGACATGCATCAACCAAGTCAGCGAGCCTGACGACTCGATCCCATTAGTCGCCTCTTACAACAAGCATAGTCATCTTTTACACTTGTCCAGTGAGGCGGCGGCACTGCTGCATGAGAAACGGCAGAGTAACCACTGAAATTTAGCCTGAAACATGTTTTCAAACTGAGTTTAGTCAGAGCACCAGCACTAAGTCTTGACCATGTTAAATGTTACTGGTTGTTCTGAAGTTGATGGGGGCACAGTTGTCTCAGGTGTTGCAATTCCGCGTCCCTTGGGCACGCCAGAAACTTGTGATTGTGAGTTTGAATCCCGGTTCGCCTTGATTTTGTTTCTAGGTTTGTCAGCACCATACCCGCGGCCGTGCTCATGGGTTTCCTCCCACATTAAGTTTACACACTGTGATATAACTGAAATACTGTTCAAAGCAGCTTTAAACCCAACTCACTCACTCACTCTGAAGTGACTCTACAGCTGCACTACTGAATAGAAAATGGAATAGCACTGAAACAGTTTTAATCTGAAAAATCTGATTTTGTGTAAATTTGTTTATGCACACACACAATAATAACCATTCTGAGGTGATGTAATTGTTTATCTATGTACAGTTATCCTACTCTTGCTTTCAGAATGAATTGTCATCTGCTGGCCCCGACTTCCAGCATCTTGTCTTGTCTCGACTGGCGGCAGGGAGGTAATGAATAGAAAACACCAGGCAAGGAGTTGTCCATTGGCATCCAGAGAACTAGGTCTGACTTTCACGGTCTTGTCTTGTCCCAATGGAGGGCAGGAAGTGTCCATCGGTATCTGGAGAACTAGGTCTGACTTCCACCATCTTGTCTTGTCCTGACCGACGACGACAGGTAGTGATAGATCACACCATGCAAGGTGTCCATCCATAACTCGAGAACTAGGTCTGACTTCCACCATCTTGTCTTGTCCTGACCGATGACAGGCAGGTAGTGATAGATCACACCATGCAAGGTGTCCATCGGTATCTGGAGAACTAGGTCTGACTTCCACCATCTTGTCTTGTCCTGACCGATGACTGGCAGGTAGTGATAGATCACACCATGCAGGGAAGTGTCCATCGGTATCTGGAGATCTAGGTCTGACTTCCACAATCTTGTCTTGTCCTGACTGATGACAGGCATGTAGTGAATAGATCACACCATGCAGGGAAGTGTCCATCGGTATCTGGAGATCTAGGTCTGACTTCCACCATCTTGTCTTGTCCTGACTGATGACAGGCAGGTAGTGAATAGATCATCCATGCAAAGTGTCCATCGGTATACAACAGCCGATCTGTACAGGTCATGAGTTTGTTCATCTTGTGTGAACGGTAAGTCAAGAACCTGGAAGGAGAGATGAATCTGCTGATGAAGAGAAGTGTCCGTTTATTTTAATCAAAATATTCATTAAACACAATTATACTCTTCTGCAAACACAAGATTAATCCTGTTCAATCTTGCAAATACTGGTTGTTAAAATAAGAAAGAGGACTTCCTGATTTCAACATGTTGACTTATGATCTGGTTGGTAATGCTGTGTGTACGTGAATGTAATACCTGAATCCCTGCTTAATCAGGACTCAACACTAAAGTTCCCAGTTAACAAACAATGGGAATGGAGTAATGCATTGGTATCAACATAGAAGCTCCAATGGTAATCTTCTAATAGCATGGTTTCAAAGAAAAGATTTGATAAATCCTGTCTCAATGTTATATCTCCATTTTATCTCCAAAGTTGAAGACCGAATCTGTCACTCACTACATCAACAGACCTCCCTTACTGAACTGTTATTTAGGGCTAAAAAAGTGAAACTCTTGACAGATGTTAAAGGTGAGGCCACCCACTTACACCCAGTCACTGCCCCAGGTGTAGTATCATTATCATCAGGAATACCTCATGCTATCTCATCCTGCCAGGGTTGTTATTGAATTGGATGTCATGAGTGTATATTCTGTGTAAACAGCTGGCTGCTTCTGGAGCAGAGTGTATTGCTGTCACTTCAAATATACTGATGGAAATAAGAAAGGGAACGGAACAAAGATTGACTTTACTGCAGTGTGCAGTCAAATGCTCCTCATCAAATCACTATGGTTGAGATATTGTTGATGAGATCCTAAACTTTACCTCATTGAAGTCATCCTTAATTTGTTTTTCCTGTATATTTCTCTGTCAGTGTGGGGATTCAGATTAGAATAGATTGGCAGCAACCTATGCTAGTAGGTCCCCAGGAATCTATGCTGGTCATAAGAAGCGATTAATAAATGAGGTGGTCTGACTCGGTGACTTGGTTGATAGTGTTTCCTTGTACTCCAACGATGTTGATCGTTGCTCACAGTATTGATCTCTGAATTGTCTGGTCAAGACTCAATTATCTACAGTTTGCCATCATATAGCTGGAATATTGCTGAGTTCAGTGTTAAACAAAACCCAAACAAATTTGTATATTCTTTCTTTTCTTTAATATTGGGGCCATCAGGTAGCCTAGTGGTTAAAGCGTTCCCTCGGCACGCCAAAGACCCGGGTTTCGATTACGGACATGGGTACAATGTGTGAAGCCCATTTCTGGTGTCCCCTGCCGTGATATTGCTGGAATATTGCTAAAAGCCTTGTAAAACCATACTCACTCACTCTTTACTTTATTGGGTATTGGAGATTAAATGTTGAAGCTATTCATTTCATAATGAAATGATGATTTGTTTAAACTGTTACTGTTATATTTTGTACATGTTATGAATAAATATTTTTACTTTCGCGGATTTTTATGTGTTTGTGTTGGCAGATCAAATGAACAAAAGTAACCCATGTTCAGCTCTATTTTTGTTTCTTTGGACGGTTTGGTAGCACCATGGTTAAAGTGTTCGCTTGTCCCTCCTGGGTACAATGTGTTGAGCCCTGATATGGCAGGAACATTGCTAATAGAGGTGTATATTCATACCCATGCGCTCTCATTCACTCACTCAACTGGCCACAGGTTACATAATGTGCATGTGTGACTCCACAAGGGGGATTGCAACTCTTTGGAAAAGGAAGAGTGCATTTTTTTCTTTGGCAGCTCGTCTGTTATCGTGTCATGTTAAAGATATATCACCAACTGGGTTCTTCATGTGATAAAGAAGAGGGACTGCAGCCTTCATCCCCTCAAGATCCGCATTTTCTCTGATATGGATAGGAATTGTCAAGCACTGTCAAGAACTGTCAAGAACTCTCCCATCAGTCCATGTTATTACCTCCACCAACGGGATGAGTGTGTGACAGTTACTATGATTCACAAGCAGCACATTTCTCGCCCCAGATGCAGTTCTGACATGCTTGCAATCCACGCACAGTTTACATTCACCAGGGAGTTACATAAGACCTATATAGATTCTCTACATCAGCAACATCTTTGTGATGGGGATGCTTTGCGTATCTTTCCTAATGATAAGCATGCCTCACAGGGTGTTGACAACATGCATAGGCTGTAACTTCATTGGTGCTACAAACATCAATATAACTCCAGATAATGTAAAATGGGTTATATATGTTTACAAGCAGGTCGTTTAATACCACAGGGAGATAACGCAATGTTAAAGCAGGTTTGACCTGTGGTCGTCCATCGTCAAGGATTCTGTCTTTAAGAGAGCTTATTCCACAAGAAGTCCTAATCTGTGTACAAATACCATGGAGACCCAGCTAAGCCTTTCTCATGCCACATGTGTATTGGAGCATATTTCTGCCGGAAAGGGGATCTGGGAGAGCAAGGAGGATTAACGGGTTCTGGAAATGCATCTAATTGGCCATTAATGCGTGGAGCGGTGGTGCGTCATGGTTTGACTGGGGAGTCTGGACAACCTGGGACGGAGGTTTGCTTCTGCCAGATAAAGAATTGGAATGCAAGACTTGTTTGAAAGACAAGCCGTAACCCTACTTAGCACTCGCGTAAACCGAGTATGTGTTTTATAAAGACGGCGAAACTGGAATAGCACAAGTTGGTCGTCTTATTGGAGATCTCGTATGTTTTTTTCTGATGACAACGTCAGCTGGAGTCGTACTGTAACATTAAACTGTTTCGTTTGTTGTTTAACGCCGCGCTCATCAATATACCATTTTGTTAGCAGCGTATAAATAATCGAGCCTGGATCAGACAACACAGTGATTGACATGTGCAATGATATCCACGCCGTCGGGTGACGGTGACACACGTCAGTGACCCTGATCACCCGATCCTTGTTGTCGCCTCTTCCGACCAGCGTTGGCTGAAAGGGTACACTAGCTCAAGTCTTAATGGCAATCATTATTAGTTTAAATCATAAATTCTTGATTATATAAATAATAAGAACAAGTTATCCATAGAAAAGACTAGCGTCGTTAGACTTTTCTGTCCGGTTTTTTTTAATACTTGTCTTTCACAAGGATAGAATTACTATATACCCGTGGTCTTTATATTCAGTATCGCCTAGCTAATCGGGAACTGTTCTAACCCGGAATCTTCACGGCGGGGAAAGTGTGTTTTGTAGAGCCATTGAACTGGCATCTTCCTGAGGCAAGGGCTTTAACTGACTATAAAAGTCTCCACTTTCCACCCTTGCCGAACTCGGCTGGAATTTCCAGGCTCGATCGTAGCGCTACCAGTGGCTATTACGAGTTATGTCCCTTTTATGTTCCTCCTATTGACCAATCAGATTCCATCTCTCATATCACTTGCATTTGCTTCAAACGATATGACGGCGCCCAGTCAAGACGCTCAACTCAATAATCAAGATCTATATTGTAATAAAAGTGAGCGACTTGATTAAAAACATGAAAGAATTTGCAAAATTTCTGTCGAAGCCCGGTTGGCGGTACACATGCTTTGCAAATCCTGCAGTCGACCGAAATCTTCACTTGAAATCAATGTTGTTTAGGAACCGGATGTCTTGCCTGTTGAACAATTTTGATTGGACTACGCATAGACTCGTTAGTCCAGCCAAAATGTCACTCCATAATTGCAGCCTAGTTCGGCAAGGGTGGAAACTGGACTTTTATAGTCTGTTAACTCCCTTGCCTCAGGAAGATGAGCTGGGGGATCAGGGCACCAATGTCCCCAGTCCTTGGGACAGTGCCCACTAAAGAGCACAATGGGCTCACATGGTTGCATTGAGTGACCTTACTGTCACCATCACCCGGCGTTTATCGTTCATTGATCGTGCTATCAACCACTAGTTTGACAGGTGCAGCGTAGGGCAACAACCAACCACGCGTATGTCAAGTATTGTACTACTACATTATATGTAACGATGAAAACTACATTATGAAAATACATAATAAGATCTCTAAATGTGGGCAGCGTCACTGAGTGAATGAGTTCAGATTTAGGGTCACATCGGCATTATTTCAGCCATATCGTGACCAAATCAAGTTGTACAGTAATAATACATGAAATAGACAATAAAACCTGTCGAAAAAGGGCAGTTAAAGCACTAAACTATCACGCATAGATCTTAAAACAGTATGTTACCTCTCCATGAAGATCCGGGGTAGAATAGGTCTTCAGCAACCCATGCTTGCCGTAAGAGGCGACTAAGGGGATCGTTTGGTCATGCTCGCTGACTTGGTTGATGCATGTCATCGATCCCAGTTGAGTAGGTCGATACTCATGATGTAAGTCACTGGTTTATCTGGTCCAGACACGATTATTTACAGACCGCCGTCATATAGCTGGAATATTGTTAAGTGCGGCGTTAGAAAAACACAAACAATCATAGTACGTAACCATAAAAAATTGACTTCATAACGATACATCATTAAAAAGGGCTATAGACCACCAGCAACCATAGTTAGGCCACCATACAAGGGACCATGGGGACTTACGGTACATCTGCCTCCTGCATGTTACCCCGTCACTTAAAGTGACACACTCCACTGCAATCAGCAGAAAAGTGCCCTATCTGGAAGGATGTTGTTTTGTAATAAAACTGTCAGCGGGTCAGTCACGTGTGGTCAGCAGCCATTCCAGGGCTCCTCATCCACTGCTGACCTTCACACAATATAACAACTGTTTCTTTCTGTAAACTAGTTTCATTTCAGAGACTAGATGTTGACCTGCTGTCTAATGGACAGGAGTAGACTAACACTTAGTCTATGAAAACATTTTTTTCAAATAATTGTATTTCAAAAGAACCTTTCCTCTTTTTCTGCTGTTTTCATGTGGAATGGAGAAACTAGACTTGGTTTAGTTTGATCAAGATTTGCTTCGGCATTTAGTAAAAATATATGTATACTAGTATATAAATTCCACAGTCGTGGCGCAGGACGAAGGCCAGAGCAGTGCTGTGGGATAGCTAAGGCGGGGAATTTTACACAGCTACATCAGAATGTATTTTGTAAGATAGATCATGCATTCTTAACAAATATCAATAGACAACAGCATTTGGAACGAATGGAAACACTTAATTTTAAAATGTTTGAAGACGAGTCTGATTTACTTAAAACATTGCTTTCTCGAGATAAACATGAGCTATTGATGACCACGATCTCTTCCCACAATATGTATAAACGAGAGAAAAAGATCGTAAGATATGATCATGTATACATATATATAATTGATCATGTATATATATAAATAACGACGATTAAATACAACGCATGTACGAATTAAGGCAATCGACTTTTCAGTAGAGGAAATGGATTGTTAAATGCTTTTAAATACACGAGTAACAAACAAGCGGATGATTCCTTTGAGGACCACTGCACACATGAGTGTGCGCACGTATACACGTACTGACCTCACGCACGCAGAACCCTGACGGAAAGACAGTTATTTATTCTAGCTGACATTGCGTCAGTTTTTTTAGAGCAATACTTATTGTAAAGTATTGAACTTTTAACACATCCCAAATAAGGCAAGCCATGTGCTAATGAAATAATTGTGGATTTTATACAGTCACCTAACATAAGACATAAGACTGCCTTCGTGGTCTATTGGATAGAGCGTTTGCCCGGCTTGCGAAAGGTCGGTAGTTTGATCCCCGGACCGTGTCAAACCAAAACACGTTAAAAGGTGGTACTTGTTGCCCTCAGGATTAAGGGGCTAAAACAAAGACTGGTCGTTCGGAGTCAGTATACTGTGTCTGCGTTAGGTATTCATGGGGGCGGTCGGGTAGCCCAGTGGTTAAAGCGTTCACTCGTCACGCCGAAGACCCGGGTTCAATTCCCGACATGGGTACAATGTGTGAAGCCAATTTCTGGTGTCCCCCGCCGTGATATTGCTAATCTAGTGATTAATATCATGAGCATCGATCTACGCAATTGGGATCGATGACATGCATCAACCAAGTCAGCGAGCCTGACCACCCGATCCCGTTAGTCGCCTCCTACGACAAGCATAGTCGCCTTTTACAGCAAGCATGGGTTGCTGAAGACCTATTCCACCCGGACCTTCATGGGTCTGCCACAAGTGCAAGTATTTGTGTGAATGTATTC